CTGTCTACATCCACCCATCTAGGGAACTGGAATTCAGATGTACAGACACCATGTATGCCAGGCGACTAGTCTGCTTGCCGGAGGCACGCCGCCTTCTCTACTGCGACACGATTGACGGCGTGATGGCTGTTCGTAATTAATTATGTGATTAAAACGCGACGGGGAGGGGGACCCGGCCAGGGTGTCTGCTATGGGCCAATACGATCGCGGATCAGCACCGTCTCCCTCATCAAGACAGAGAATCTTGCTTGTCCAGAGCAGAGCAGACGAGAACTAAACAGTGGAGTCTCTCTGTGCGGGCAGTAAATACGGGCCCCAGCGTGGCATCATGTTGGGATGTAGCCGGTTTTAAACATCACATCATGGGTATTGAGGAGAATAGAGGGTTGGCAACCTGGTTGACGACCGGCGGGGTTTGCCGCCGCTCGCAGGCAGCCAATCACGGAGCGTGCACCTGTAACAAGCGACGGGACCTTTTGAAGGTGGCAGGGCAGTTCAAATTTCCTGCCGAGCCAAAGCAGTAGTCTTTGCGGTCCTCTGACTGCAAGAACGGGGGCAAGAAGAAGCAAGCCAAGACGTGGAGGGCGGGACGTAGGCAGAGCTTAGCGAGAATTGCTATCATCGAGAGATGACATTGAGCCACTACGACGTTGCTAGGTACGGAATTTTGGTTGAGGGGCGTGCTGAAACCCCAACAACACCATGAGGCTCGTCGACGTGTAAGTAGGTTGTCTATTTCAGTCAACATGGCAACACCCGTGGGATGAAAAAGCAACCCAGTTCCGACCACGACTCCCGAAGGGGCCGTTGGCCTATCCGCTGGACCCCCAGTCCCTATCCCCCCCCTCCCCACGACAGCAGAACGGTGAGAACTTCATAGTATGTTACGGTCTCCGTAGTGATACCCTCTTGCAATCCCAATGTGCGAGTTCTAAATTTGGAGTGGTCTGAGCTGAGTCTTGCAAGTGAACTGTTTGGTGCTTTGCCTCATTGGTAACAAGAGCCTATCATGCCGGTGTGACCTGGCTCCCAAACAGGATTAGACTACGAGAAAATGCCCCGCTAAATGCACGACTAGGCCAGAGCTTACATTAGTCGAGAAAACATGCTCCAGCTAAGCTAATGCGCGTGAGGCGGTACGTACCTTCTATTCCAGTCTTACCTCGAGCAGCAGCACGCCGCGACCTGCGGGCACTTTACTGGGTCCCTGCTGCAGCACCGCTGCACCAGCAACGCAACTGAGGAATGATGAGATGAGAGCCCTGCCCGCATGCATGCCGCCATAGCCAAGCCCAGTTCATCATAGCACGGCTCTCGCTCGATCCACACCTCGACTGCACTCTGGACAGGCGCGGTCCGACTGGGCAGCGCACATAGAGCGTACATGGAATCCTCCCGCAATGGAACAGAGCCCACACCCCCTTCATCGGCCTGCCTGGCCACCCACCAAACACCGGTCTGGAGATCATCTACATCCGCGGGGCTCTTTCTCCTACGACATGGCTGGTACGTACCTCTGGCACACACACGCAGCAATGGCAAAGTACCTACATTCCAGTGATGGGGGCCAATATACGCATATTGGTATTTACGTGCGGCACCACATCACATCCCACCCGTAGGTAGCAGTGATACTGGGCTGGGTGGACCGAGGGTAGCATTCTCCTTTGAAACACAGCACATGGGATCTAAAAATTGACCAAGACATGTTTGCAAGCGAGTCGGGCAGCTGGGTGGTTGGTCGCGCGACTAGCGGCGTCTAATAACGTATCAATCGCAAGTTTCTCGTTCTCGGACAGCTGGCTGGTCAGTCGGGCGCACTGTCTGGATGTGTGCGATGGGCAATTGAGTGAGAGTGGGAGTGCGACTGCGAGTGTGGTTGTACCTGGTGGTGGAGGGCGCGAGCTTGCGGCGAAGTCGCGATAGGCTGGCTTGCCGGCGAAATTGAAGGAGACTCTGGTGCAGCAAGCACTGAAGCTCGAACACCAGACCTGCATATGGGCAACTAGACTCGAGAGCGGCCCAGCAAGAGCCTGCCGGGCCCAAAGGAATAATGGATAGGACTGTCCTTGGGCTTTGATATGGGCCATCTTCCTTAGTGCCAATCACCGGTAGACGGACAGTAGGACCCCGGCTGCCAAATCGGTTGATTGATAGCAGCTATCCTCGATTCCATCGCGTCTGCCGAGATATCGTCCTGCTAACGGACCGGCTTCGATCCCTCGCAGCTTGTTTCCTTACCGGTTCAGCCCCCAACATCGATACCCACGCCAATCAGGCGACGACGGATGCGGGTGCTAGCTGAGGGGTCAAGTCGTTGGGGGCGAAGAGTAAAGTTACGGCAGAGTGAGGCAATCCGGGACGCTCAGCTTGCCCCCAAGCCGCCGCGCTAGCTGGCTATTTCCCGCTGTGCCCGTGGTCTGCGTGCTGGCTACGACCGGGCAGTGTGTGGTGTGGATGCCTGGCTCGTACGAGTCGAATATCTGCACTGGTAGGGCAGGGCCAAGGAAAGACCCAGAGAGTTCCTCTCCGATGTCGAGTAGACACATACCAGTCTTGGCTGCCGTTGAGCATGGTCCCAGGACAAGGCCAATTGACTGTGGAGGGTTCACCCAAAAATAAGAAGAGTCGGTTCAACACCCCTCTCCCCTGCCGTTGCTGGTGAAGAAACGACGGGAGTGGAGGTGAAGAGCGCGCGAGTGGACGAGTGAGGTGAGCTCGTCGCATGGCTGTGGAACCTCTTGGAACCCATGGACCTTTTTGCCCTCCTTCTTCTTGTCTCTCACTCTCTGGGTTTGACCAGGACCTGGCCCCGTGCGTCTGCAGAGTGAACGTGCCCAAAATAGGCACAGCACTCCCTGCACTGCGCCCGCGGCTGCGAGCGCTGTGGTACGCATAACCCCCCCATGCAGATTGTTGGCTGCCCCTTGAAACTGGCCTGGCTGTGGTAGATGGGTGGTCTCATGAGCGCGCGCTTGTCGTAGGCGCAGTGCGTCGAATACCACCTTCGTGGGCACCACCAAACCAACACGCGCAGAATATACGCAACAAGGCTTAGGAGAAGGCTTAGGGTGTAAAGCAACGACGCCAACAGATGGATGCATACGGGCCACTATCTTTTCCATGCCGGAGCCAGTCTGCCTGCCACTTCTCTTGATCGCCCCCTCCCTTGCCCTGGACTGCAATTCTTGGCTGGCAGCAGGACGAGGCTGGAGCCTGGAAGATTCCTTGATACCTTGCTGTCCGTCCCGTTTGCCCCCTCCCCCCTCTTGCGCACATCTCTACCCAGGTAGTCAGGTTAATTGGCTGCTCTTCGCTGCGCCGTAGGAGGTGCCGTAGAGGTCTCGTCCTGGCCGCGAGTCTCCAGTAGAAACGGGCCTTGTAAGGCACACTACTGTGTAGTACGACGTCTATAGTACCCATCATGAGGCCCCACGGTACTTTGCTTTCTTGCCCCCGAGTAAATCCAGAAATGGATAGATGAGTGGTCTCCACAGGAAGAGAGAGAGAGAGCGATGGGAGTCTGTTCTGTTCTTGTTCCAAGCTTTTCTCACCCGCGCGCCCACACACACCACACAGCACACTCAGACACACACACGAACAGACGCAGACGCACACTGCCCTGAGCGAAGATTGCAGCGACACCCTTCTCCCCCCACGCCCCCCCCTCAATCACCACTAACCACTCGCTGTACCCCCCCTCCTCACAACCATGTCCCCTGCGACCACTGAAGAGAGGGGAGGCTTCCCATTCCTTACCGCGTCTGCTCACTCTCTTTCCACGTTTTTTGTCACTCGCTGTCGTTCGGTGCATAATCCTCGTCGATATAGATTAAAAATGGATGTCTATTTCAAGTAAATGAACGTTAGCAGTGAACCGGGAGTGTCGCAGTCGCTCACGCACTAGATAGAGTGCCGTCCCCCAACTCGCCATCTCATTGACCAGTTTCCATAGCCTGCCCACACAGACTTATTATAGATAGAAATCGACACATGCATGTTTCGGGTTGTCTCAATCTGGCAACGCCTCGGGGACGAGGTGACTAAGTCGACGACATCTTCTGGCCAGTGGCCTGAACGCAAGGCAGGCCAAGGTACCGCACCTCAGAGACAAGAGGCAGAGCGGCATGTACCAGTGGTCGTTGGGGGCCATTGTAAAGGCAGAACGGGAGCACCGCCCAACTGGAGCTTAGCCTAGCCTGGTGGTGCATCATGTAAGAAAAGCCATGTACTGTCTCGCTCGCTGGCCATCTCCCAATGCCGTGCGGGCTCCATCAGCCCCCTGGTCGCCGTCCGTGCCTCGAGAGTGCCTGGTCTGGTCACTGGTGGCCCTCTTGCTCCCCACCCATGCACCCTGGTCTGGTTGATGTCGAGGATGGTGCATGTACTGAGGTACCGACCTGGGTCTTTGGGTACCTAGCCTGGTACTATCTTTGAGCAGGGGTGTGGTGACTGCATCTGGATGTGGATGGGGATGGCAGCTTATTCTGTCCCTCGTCATGCATCCAAAGCTGTCAGGGCAGGAATATGAGCAAACTCCACACTCGCCCTCTGTCCAGGGCCATTTCCATATAAGCCCGCGCTCATCCTGGATTGTCATCGAGACTTTGGTCGCTTGGTTTCTACTCACTAGACTTTGACTTCACTATACCATCCTTATATCTTCTTACATCTATATATCATAGATCCAACGTTCTTCTTGTTGCTTGAGACTTGCATTGTTATACAACACCCACTCGACCATCATCATCCACTGCTCTTGTACTCATCCGCCTGCCGACCCAATCGCCTCCAGTGCCTGTGCGTGTATTCTTAAAGAAGCACGCCTCTCTGATATCAATCAACCTCGTCTGTCACTCAATTCGCTTTGGTGACTCTCAAGTTGGATTGAGCCCTACCCGTGGCCACTCCCTCGCCGTCCTGGCTGTCTTCGCTCTTGCGCATCGAACTGAAAACACCATCCTCCCCACCACACTCTCTTCACACACACAACCGCCACAATGAGCGCTGTCGCCATGCCTTTTGACCCAACAATGAACCTCGGGCCTCGACAAGCTTTCACCTGGCCTGGTAAGACGGCCTTCGAAGCCTTCAGCTGGGCCCCGGAAGGCGCTAACACCCCTCCAGCCGGTCCTCTCGAGTCCGCTCCCGCCCACCATGACCATATCCTGGAAGCCGACTTCACATCGATGCACTCCGCTTCGGACCCCAGCCTCACTCCTCCCAGCATCGCCAGCTCCATCACATCCAGCCCTCCCAGAACCGCATTCACAACCGAGCAGCGGGAGATGAAGCGCCAGCAAGACCGTGTCCGCCGCGATTCTCGCCTTGTATCTCGCCTCCGAAGAGTCAGCAGCCAGCCCTCGTACCTCGAGTCTCCCCCGCTGTCAATTGCCGATGTCACCAGCTCCATGGAGCTGCCAACCGCATACACATCAGCTGCTGCTCCCATGTCTCTCCTCACAGAGCCCGCTGGTCCTCTGACGACCCAGAGCTACCTCCCCCCATACAGCCCTCCTCTGCCTGAAGCTGCCCAGGCCTCTCCCATGTTCCCCTCACCATACGCCCAGTCACTGTAAGTGAAACGAGCCGCGTTCCTCGTCCACAACACCACAGTTTGCTAACAGACAAGCAGTCCCCAGCAGAGCTACATGCCTCTGGAATACCAGCCCAGCCCATACGCCTCTCCCAGCCACTATAGGTGAGAACCCAATTGAGTCCCCCCTGCCATCAGCAGAGCAGCAAGCTAACAGAAGATCCAAATAGCCGATCTCCCTCACTGTCGGTTGGCCACCAGGATGCCATGATGTACCAGGTCCCGGCCGTCATGGCTACTGGCGGCGCTCCAATCGCCTCTGCCATCCCCAGCGCCTCAACCTCGCCCGAGGGCGGCCACGTTCGCGTCGTTGGGAGCCGCCCCAAGCCCCGGTGCTGGGAGCACGGCTGCAATGGCCGCCAGTTCTCCACCTTCAGCAACCTGCTGAGGCACCAGCGAGAGAAGTCGGGCCAGGCCGCCAAGGCGTCGTGCCCCAACTGCGGAGCTGAGTTCACCAGGACCACTGCACGAAACGGTCATCTGCTGCACGACAAGTGCAAGCAGCGACGCAACTCTTAGATTGAGAGTGGATCGCCTCTGCTGCCTTCTACCCACTCCTATCTGCTCTCCCGCTTACCCCACCCGCCATACTACCAAACCAAAGCAGACGAAGCCCGACGGCGCGGTCGCTTGTTCAACCCCCTCCCAGAACTGGCTCCACCGCCCTGTCTCTAGCGTCAAGCGCTCTCCATCTCTCTGGAGGCCTTGACGCGGATTCACTCTCCCATTCGGCTTCACCGACATTATTACCTCCTCTCTTCATTCGCAATACCTCTGCAACTTACATACCGTTGTATCTTTTGCACCCTCTTACTCTTTTTTTCTTCTTTCTTCTACTTCACTTCAATTTTTCTTCACACAAAAAGGAACTGGGAACCAAGTTTCTGGCTAGGGATATTTTTAGGACTTGACTGGTGTTTTGGGGGAAATTTGACTGGGTTACATCGGATTTTTTTTTACGGATTGGCGCAAACACGCTGTACAGGATACCTCGGCACACTAAACCCCCCTGGGCGAAGACACGTTCTGGTTTTGGGGGCATTGGGCATTTCCCCAAAGGAGTCAAGATGGGGCTTCATCTTCCAACTCGCCTCTGCGCGAATGAATTTGGAATGGTGCACGAAATATGATGGGAATGATGTTATTACCGTTTTGAAGATGCTTTTTTTTATGCCTTTGTTTTTGTTTTTTTTACGTTTACTTGTTTTTTTCGCTTCTACATTTTTACCCTTTATCATAGAAGCAGTGATGCTGCCTTCTATTCTCTTCACCTCCCGTATATATTATTACGCTTTATTAGGTAGTTGCGCAACGCTCGAGGGCCCGATGGGACTCGTTGCAAGTCATTTGGACACGAAGAATACCAAGACACTTTCTGACATCCACTATCTGGTTCCCTCCTCAACTACCCCGTGATGAAGCAATCAATGTCACTAAAACAACGTGGCATGAGACTAACATTAGCTTAACTGGCAATAGCATCACTGGAAAAGGATGTGGTCATTGTGCAGCAAGCTGGAAGGTCGTTGCCTTGACTTCCCCGTTCGCGGACAGTCGACAATGACGTCGGGGCCGAGACAACTGGGGACGACCATTGGCCAGGTCGAGGGGGGTGATAATGCAAGCCCGAGTACAATGGCGTGGGGTGAGGGGGTGGGGAGGACGGGGAGGGGAGGGGCATGGATGGGTGGCTGTGGCCTATCTACGGGATGCGATTGAGCCATTCCTGCACTCGCGAAATGGGGGGCAGGGGCAAGCGAGGGCGAATCTGGAGTAAGATACGGGAAGCATCCTGGACGGAAAACGAGGTTATCACGAGAAGGAGCAGATTATTGGAATTGGGAGGGGCAGTCAGGGAGGGGCGTGGAGGGGGCGGTCGTTTGCCAGGATGATCATCATCGCTCGACCTCCAGACCGCCTGCGAAGACGGGAGATTGGGAAATGTGAGAAATGGAAGAGGGAAGGGCGGCGACCTGGCGGACCAGTACCGAGGCCGCGGAGAGGCGATGGCGAGCCAGAGGGCAACCCCTAGATCTGCCACCCGCATCTGTCCACGTTTCTGGTAAGATGTCATCCTGGTGCATCGATGGTAGGCACATCCAGCACGGACAGCGTTGCTTCGATGGAGGGCTGCTTACAGTGTGAGCACCCTTTCGAAAAACGAAACAAGATAGACGCCAATGTGTGTGTGTATGATACGAGCGCCCAGAAGAGCTCAGCATAGCCCCCAAGGCTGGGCCAAGCGAAATCCAACCACCCCGAACCCAAGACAAGAGAAAGCTTCGGCGCCTCTGTCGGGCAAACTCAGCGGTTGATTTGAGGGAAAATTTAGCCCAGATTTGGTTTAATCTGGCACGCACGCAATAACTACTGGCGAACGGCCGCCGTTCATGGGTTTGGGGCCGCACTGTTTTGCCTAACTGGGCAGTCAATGTCCCCCATGTAGCTCCCCCCAGGCTGTATGTATTACATATGCACTACACTACAGGCAGCATGCCTCCCCCAGGCTTGAGGCCGGGACGGATCTCTGGGGGACAGGTGGTCCGTGGCCCAACGTCGAGCTGGTTGTGGTTGATGTGAATGATGTGAACATGCTTATGCATGTGACTAACGATGACCAAGGCGAGTTGACGGCGGCCTCATCCGTGGGTCTGATCATCACGTAAAAGGCCTTACATACGCGCTACATGAGGATGAATTCGTGGCGATAGCGTCATTGATGGCCGAGAGAGGGTGTAAGCCACTGGAGTCTGCTTGTGGTAGGCCGGCCACCAAATGAGACAGGTAAGACACTTCTTTGGTCATCTGTAGATACCTACATGTTCGGATGATACTGGATCCAGTTCAAGGCCAGACATATATGGGTCTCCCGCCCGATGGGGAGACGGAAGCAATACTTGGTCAGACCGCCACAAGGCCAGATCTGGCAAATGGTCTGGCAAATGGACGTGAAGATAATATCTGTATGTGTATGCATGTACCCAGGGCCCTGGCTGGCGAGATCCGAAAGTTAGCTTCTACCTCATCAGCACCTGATTCTCATGCATGTATGGAAATGGGAGGTGGCCAGGGGGGCCACTATGGGATAGTTTGCCTCTGCGGCCGCCCTGCTGTCTGGTGGGAGGGACGATCTGTACCACCTAGAGTTTACTGCCGTAGGTGATGTGTCTAGTGCCGTCACGTTCAAGGCGCGCGCGAGTTTAATGGTCGAGGAGCGAGCCGTCCCAAGAAACGTCCCCTGGCCATGGTCCAACGTCTTCACAAGCGTTTGTTAGCACGATGGCGCCTTTCCCTTTCCCTTATCCATCATAACGCCAGCGCCCAAAGTAGAGCGACTGACGTCTGCATTCAGGCCTAATGCGGCAATATTATGACGGCTAGTCGCTGCGTTTTCCCCGCCGCAGAAGCGCGACCTTTTGTTGTGGCAGAAAATAGTCCGGGCCTATCCTGAAGGGGACTGGCATCGGGTTTGCTTGCTGCTGCTTCTTTCTTGTTATCTTAATCCCGCCTAGTCTGCTTGCCTGCGATAGCCTGCACCGGAATTGAGTGATGACGGGGTCGCCGGCAGGTAGCGACGCCGTCTCTCCTGCGGAGGGGGAAGCTAGCTAGGAACCCAAGTCCATCAACGCCGGGAGGAAGACGCACGCTACGGGCGCGAAGAGAGGGGACCGGGCCAGAGTGAGGACCCAAAGGGCCAATTCCCATTTTCTTCTTCTGGCCTAACGGCTAAACGGGCAAGTCAATCTAATCTAGGTGTGCAGTTAATATCCTCCTCGCAGCTCTGGCGAGTTTCACCTTTTGCGCCGAGGCGAGCTTGTGATGGCACTGCAGCTCTTTTATTATTAGCACATGCGTACGGCTGTAGGGCGAGCGCTGCAGCTGCATTGGTGTGGCATCTGGCGTGTTCTAGAGGCCCTTCTGCCGGGAGGTCTTGTTCCTTCAGCTCCCCATGCAGGTGATGGCTGGGCAAAGTTAATTCTGCTGCCTGGAGGGAGGGCTGCAGATCTCGGTGTCACAGTGCTTGATCGCTCGCTGGGCTTGTGGGGACGAAACCGGGGAGGAGGTCACTTGCTCAAGAACCATTTACCGCTTTGAGGGCACTACGATAGGTTGTTTCTACGTACATCGACTACTCTACCCTACCTGTGATGGAGTTCAACCTAGTGTAGTGACCTATATTACTGTTTTCCTAAAGCAACTTGAGCAGCTTGACCTTTGTAGCCGCTTATTAAGGCAAGGTACATGGATGTCCTGTGATTTCTGGCCTGAAACGTGGCGGTGTTAGTGGCAGCTATGGGGAAAGAGGTGTGAGCATACACAATCACATTGCATTTCCCCCAGTTCCCAGGTAAGAGACAAGAAGGTATCGTTTCCGTTGCTGGCCAGCACATTCAGCTGTCTTGAATGCGACCCAGAGTGAGGTTTTGCCTTACCACGTCCCGCAATACGGCCCCCAACGTCCAGCCCCCAGCGAATGATACCCTCTGAGCCAGTGAGAAGCATTGCCGGAGCCGCGCCTTACGGGAGACTCATCAACAACGTGTATGTTGCCGGATGGGGGAGTAAGGTGTGGGAGATGGTTGGTCTGATGCCCCATGGTGCATATTCTGCAGCGGGCGTTCTCACTCGATTCTCGGGGCATGTGAGCATCATTGCCCGAACCTGCAGATACTTGAATGGAAGATGCCGTCCTATATTAATTAGCACACTCTTCTCTTTCCTTGCTCGACCCTCCTCGCCCCCCGGCAGCGTTACATTTTGGCCCTCGCAGCAAGAGTCCACATCGCTTGCACCCACTCATCGGGCTGGGTTGGTCCCGTCTGCTCGTCCGCGTGCTCGTACATGGCAGCCAATGCCTTTCCGGCCTGCGCTCCACGCACACTCTTTATTTCCCAGTTCCCAGAATAGAGGCCAATCACTGGGCATCGTTCCGGGGAGGAAGCGAGACAAATGGGGGAGGGGTATACACATGACAAGCACACACACATATCGACACAGCCTGACCACCCAGGAACACCAAGCTGCCCGCAGATACACAGTACGTGATATGCGCAACGGCCGACCGGGCTGCCTCGTACCTCTCCTCCCGTGCCTCCCTCCTGCTGCTGTCGTGCCAGGTTTTTTGCTAGCGGCCGCTTTCCCACAGATTTGAAAAAAAAAATGCACCACCGGATGCACGTCTTAAGCTCCGGCGTCGGGTTGGGGGCTATTTCGGCTCTGGGGGCCTTTCGCCTGGGCATGGATCACGCTTATTCCGGTCCCTCTGCTTGACGTCGAATACGAATCAAGAGAGGCCAAGATGAGCGGTGACGTGGTGATGAGGGCAGGCGCCCCGGCATAGTATTGGAATGTCGCTACGGCATCACGGAGGAGAGCTCCTATTCCTGTCTGTCCCTCTGCAAGGTGGTGGCAACCAACCCCTTCTGCGGCTGACGGGTTGATGAGCTGGACAAACTGGATGGGAAGGTTTTGGTTGTTCCACAACCTCGCGTAGGTGTGGACGAAATGCACGACCCGGAGGCCTTTTGTTCACATGGAAGAGATGATATCCAGAACTAGTTTTCGCCTCCCGGCAATTGCGTCGTGGCGCTCGCGGTCGGGTCTTTTGGGCCAACCAACGGACTTGCTAAGCGCCTCTCCCAAGCCGAGCATAAGAGAGAAGTTGCTGCATGTGCTTCACTTCCCGAACAGACAGTGCCTCGGTGGGGACTTTGGAGTCGGGCAGTTTCTCAAGCCACCGGCTCTTTGGGGCGGGAGGGAGCGTATTGGCGTGAACGGGTCTGAGGGGGGGCCCTACGTACAAGGCGTACTCGAGAACAATGCTACGGAAGCGCCCAAGGGGGGCTTGCAGGTTGCTGCGATGCGATGCAGCGACTTCTGTCACCAAGCAGCTTGGCTGCAGCCGTAAGCAGCCCTAATGCAAGCAGCTCGAACGCAGAGAGGGCGTGCGCGCAGCGTCCAATCTCAGCTTGCACCTCAGGCATATGTGGTAGCACCGCAGAGCATGCAGCATACATTGGGACTTTGGTATTTATTATTGGGCCTCGATAGTCTGATCGTACCGGTTACAAACTCGAAAATAAGCAGTACGTACGACTTCAAGTATCTCAGCTTCAAATGTCACCTGGATGACAGCTTGGTGCAGTGCAACATGGGGTCTTGTTGCCTTGCCATTTCAGCTGGCCCGCTGGGTTTAGCCGCTACAAGCGCACCGCCCGCTTAAGGCTGCAAGCTGGTGGCACGAGCTGGCCTGTGCAGCATCGATGCTACCCTGTAGGCGCAGCTCCGTTACCAGGCAGCGGCGCTTGACCTGTTGCTGACACATCCAAACAAACAGCACACAAACAACCCATCCACCAGTCACGGAACGACAGAAGCGGCTGCAACGCACCGCACTTCGCAGAGGCACAGCTCCAGGGTGCTCTGTTATCGGAAACTCATTGGGGGGAAATCAGAAACCAATAATCCTCAGGCCAAATCTGTGTGGGAGCTTGCTGTATGCCGATTATGCGTGCCCGTGAGCGCGATAGATGAAGTGGTACCCATCATAGGCCATGGCCATGACCGTCACCAACTCCAAGGTGCATGCCCGCAGGCAAAAGGTGTTCCGCTCAGTCTTTGAGACCCGGATATCCCAGCCCACGCCCTTGCTTCCCGCCACCGAGCCTGGGCAGCCCTTTGGAGGCCCCTCGGCAGCCTTCCTGGCCAATACGCCCCGTTTGACGCACCCAGCAAACGATCAGGTGCGCTGGGACCGGGCATGGCATGTCGTCACCTCACGTATCCAGCTCCCCTCCTCTGTTGCCGCCGAGGACTCGTTTGGCACGCTGGCGCCCGAGTCGTCCCAGGACGTCGATGACGCATTTCGAAGCTCACTGCTGCTCGTCCTGAATCCCGCCTCTGCCCTCCCGAATGCCAGCCATACGGAAGATATCCTCTCCTGGCATAGCCAACAGGTGCGGCAGCACTTTGTGAATCATGTACTCCCTCTCCTAGCCGCCTGTACTAGCCAGGGTGACCATACGCAGGTCCTCTTGACCAGTATACGCACCCTCGAGGCAGCCAACCGGCAGTATCTGTATGGCCTGTCCCTCATCCTACGAGCCTTCCACGATGAAGATGCGGCAAATGCTGCAGTTGTCAAGTTCCGGCGGGACCTGCACGCCGTCATTGGCAACTCATGGACACAGGGTCTACTGGATGCCCTCCGTGATGTCTTCAATCGCCTTGCCACGGATATCCTCAAGGCTGGAGACATGCAAGCCTCGAGCCCAGAGCCAGACAGAGAGAAAGACTCGGAAGCATCAGATTCCCGGGGCGAGCTTTTGCGCATTCTCGAGTCCCTCAGCAAGGTCGGACTTGCAGGCGAGAAGTTCCAGACCCTGTTCGCTGAGGTCATGAACTCATGCATGGATGCTTTTATTCAGAGAAACTATGCTGGGGTATGGGCCAGCTCGGACGACTTTGGAGCTTCCACCGTGTCAACGGTTTTTAGTGGATGTATGGCACACCTCGGCGACTGGGTCGAGAATCACTATGCTCGCCTCACCGTGGAAGTTTTCAGTCGCATGGGATCCAAAATTGAATGGAGCGACGTGGAAATGTGGAAAAATGTGGCCATCAGCCGTCTCTCTACCCTTCGCATCCATGAGCTATTCGATATTGTGCTGAGTTGGCCGGAGAGCAAGGGAGGCGTAGAAGACCTCCGCTCTGCCGTGACAACGCCGCAACGCCGACTGCAGCTTACCGACACGTTTTCCGCTGCATTGCAAAAGAGACTACTGCAGCCTGGTCGGTCTACGCTATACATCCTGCAAACTTATATCTCAATGATTCGGACGTTCCATTCGTTGGATGGCTCCAAAGTCTTGCTGGACAGAGTGGTCCATGCGCTCCAACTATACCTATGCCAACGAGACGATGCTATCCGCATTGTGGTCACGGGTCTGTTATCACATCCCAAGGAAACAACTCCAGAAGATTCTAAGGGGAAGCTGGTGGAGCTGGCCGCCATCCTCAATGATGCCTCTCTGCAGCAACGGCGCCATGTGGATGATGATGACCTGGACTGGAACGACATGCACTGGCTCCCAGACCCCGTAGATGCAGGCGTAAATTATAAGCGGCCCAAGAACGAGGATGTCATTGGAACATTGATTAGTGCCCTGGGCTCTTCTGACATCTTCATCAAAGAGTTCCAGTCTATCATCGCCACCAGACTTCTCTCCGGTCAGCCCAGCATTCAGCAGGAAGTGAAGGTGCTCGGCCTCCTCAAGCGGAGGTTTGGTGAGAGTGCCCTGCAGAACTGCGACGTCATGCTCAGAGATATACAAGACTCCAAGCGTGTGGATGCTGCCATCGGCAAGAGCTTGGAGTTGCAACAAGACCAAGATGGAAACAGCATTTCTTTCCATTCCAAGATTTTGTCCCGCCTATTCTGGCCAAGCCTACCGAAAGAGCCGTTTACGGTACCGGAGACTGTCGCGGAAATGCAACGGCAGTACGAGGCTTCCTTTGAGCACCTTAAATCGTCGCGTAAGCTCAACTGGCTGGACAATCTCGGACTGGCGACCGTCCACTTGGAGCTGGAGGATCGAACACTCACAATCGAGTGCAAGACTTACGAGGCAACGGTCATCTACGCATTTGGACAAGACGAGGCTGCTGGAGAGCAAGGGCCTGTTAAGAGAGCGTTTAATGACCTCTGGCAGCAGCTGATGATCGACGAAGATCTGCTCGAGGAAGCACTGGCCTTCTGGGTGTCACAACGAGTGATTCGAGATATTGGAGAACAAACATACGTTGTCTTGGAGAAACTCGAAGACGATGTGGAAAACGCCGGCGCGGACGCCGCGCAAGCTACGGGAGAGATGGAGGGCGGCCCGCCGTCACCGCGCAAGGCCAAGGGGATGAGCGCCAAGGAACAAGAGCAGAGGGGCATATACTGGCAGTTCATCGTGGGCATGCTTACCAACTCGAGCCCTGCCATGCCCCTTGCTCAGATGATGATGATGATGAAAATGCTAATCCCGGATGGGTGCTCGTGGAGCAACGAGGAGTTGCAGGACTTTCTCGAGGAGAAAATTGCTGCGGGCGAGCTAGAGCTGGCCGGAGGCAAATACAGGCTGCCCAAGAAGTGAGCAGCAAGATATTTTAACTAAGAGGAATCATGAAAACGGATACAAATTCACAGTCAGTGGCCGATCAATGATACGAGATAGATAGAACGAACCTAGTGGGTTAGGACCAGTCAAACGCTACTTCTGAAAGCAACATTCAATGTTCTCGGATTCTGCCCCATGGCATAGGTTGGCAATACAAGGGGTCATCACAATTCTTTCAGAACTAGGAGATCACCCATGCGTTGCCAACTTACGTCAAGGTTCCAATGGCCTCGGGACTTTGCTAATCTTCAACAAAAAGTTCTTTATGATTACAACAGTTCTTAACAATTCGCATCTCTTACTCTGTTTGTAGATGGTTGCTTTCCCGCAGGGTTTCATTTGAAGCGTAAACCTGGCTACTGCATCGTGCAAGCCGGATTTGGAAAGGACCCCGAAAGAGACGATAGAAAATTATCCCTACTTGTGGATAGGTTTGCATACCTAGGCTCAAGTTGAGCGGTTAGGATCTCGGACCCGACCAGGGATATCGACCCCGGAGTTCGTGAACATGGTCTTCTTAAACACCCCCAGGGCCATACATTCCGGGGTATGAAAACCGTAGATGATATGCTGCATAAAGGACCGACTGCAGCGGGACTTCATTTATAATACCCAGTTGAGTTTCGCAATCTGACAAGTGAGTAGTCGTGAATCTATCAAGAGGCAGAGTCGCACACCGACGGATCATTATTAGGCCGGAACGGGCGTGGAGTGTGCATATTCACTATGGGGCTTGCTTTTCTCCATCTCTATTCCTACATAGCAATCGTGGACCTACCTGTTACGAGCCATTGGGGTGCGAGGTCCTGGAAGGCAATGCCCGAAAGACAGATTTCCTGGAAACAAGGATTCACCCTTTCTAGGAAACCCGAGAAACGGCCAACGGTGCGCAGAAAGAGACGGCAGCGGATTGAGTTCGTCCTTGAACAACCCCAGACATCTCTGCAATATCAACGTCGGCCCCGGTCGTCACCCACAGCAGGGGTTCTCCTTCAACCTACCATATTGCCAGATGACCTCCCAGGGGATAGTGCTTTGCCAGTAGACACACAACGGGAGCATATTCAGTGTGAAGATGTCATTGAAAATGCTCCTCTGCTAGACCCGTCCAGTGGGACATTGATAGATGAATCTTGGGTTGACTTCGAGACATCACCTGGATTTGTGGAAATAAGCGACACAAACCAACCTTGTCTAAGCTCAGTCAACAGTTTCGAAAACCTCCCTAATGGAATTTCCCTCTCTGTCGCGCCCAGGGGTGAGGAAGAGGTGAATTTCCATTCAGAGTTCGATGGTGCCGGGTCACTGACTCCGTACCGTTCCTCTTCTCCTAGTTTTACGCCTTATTTATCCATCATAGAGTGTAATACCCTCCTTGAACGATTTAGACCGATCCTTACAAGATGTACGAAGCTGATAGACATTTCTGCTACCTCTGAGTTTGACTAACTGCCTGCAGACAACGCAGAGTTTTGTACAATCCCACTAACACTTCGACTTCGCATAAATCCGTTCCGATACCGTGATGATCTAGATCCCGAACCAAAGTTTCTAATGCACGCCGTCATGGCCCTGGCAGGCCACCATCTCAACAGTTCTTCAACCTTGAGCCATCGTCATGCATCCCTTCACTTGCTCCGCCAGAGTCTCGGTGCATACAATAATGCGGAAACTATGTACTCGGTCCTTGATACTATAATAATTCTATTTTCACTAGATGTAGGTACAGTATTTGTTCTACTTGGTGAATTCGAATCTGACTGTGGGTTAGGAGACTCAATCCATGCTCGGGAACTGGAGTACACATCTCAAGGGAGCATATGACTTGCTAGAAGCCTGCGGTGGGATAAACAGAATTCCACTTTCCTCTAGGGTCGAGACCCAGATAGGTATACTCACCTGGTACGTTTGTATAACAACCCCACGTTTCAAATGCCCGGGTTAATCTTGTTGAATAGGTGGGATGCCATAACCAGTCTTCTATCCAGAGAAGATTGCGTGTTTCCTTATACGTACTTTGAAGCTGTGGAAGCCAACCAACCAAAAAGAGAGTGGGATTTCTTTGGACTGTGCGGATGCCCGACGAGCCTTGCAAGGATTGTGATGCGGGTGGCACGTCTTGGGGCTCAGATGCGAAACGTACCCTCGCCGCCGTATTCTAAACACGATGAGGCAGTCATCACAGACGTTGAGACGTCTCTCCAAGATTGGGTCCACACGCCGGCCGTGAACAGTTCGTGGGACGAGGAGGGCGTGCACCGGGATTTAGATGCTATGCATTGTTCCGAAGCCTGGAGAAACGGCATTCTCCTCTACGTCTTCAGGGTGTTCCGGTGGAAGCCCGGGGATAGTGTACCTCTTCATGTCATGTACCGTGCGAGGGCGGTTGTGGACCATGTGGTGTCCTGTCGAGACGGAGAGATGATGTCCAGGCAAGCTCTGCTGCCGCTCTTCTTTGCGGGCTGCGAGCTGCGGGATGGATCCACGAGGAAGAAGATCGTGGGCCTTTGCAATGAGTGGGACCAGAGAACTCGGTATCATATGTTTTGTGCTACGATACCTCTACTCGAGGAAGTTTGGGCTGCTCAGACGGAGAGAGGTTTTGATAATGTGTGGTGGGGAGAGGTCGTGGATAGACGGCACTTGTCTAAGGATTATCCCATCAAAATGAGATTGTGTTTTGGCTAGAATCACAAAAGGCGAGCATTCCGGCCTAGGGTAATCATATAATAAAGCAGTAGCTGACTGGAGTCATGGAGATATCATTGGGAGACTGTTGTCGTTATCGTTATGATCATTTGAATGTAACATGCTCAGCTGAAATTGAAAGTAAAGCACGATGGCTTCCTATTCAGTCTGCTTTTCGTTCTTTCTCGGCTAGGTGGCCAGATGCCTGGACGAGACCTTGCTCTTCTACTTGCTGACGTCGTTTCGGACCCTTGAATGAATGTCGCTGCCAGAAGTGCCACGCCAACAGGGTGTAAGCAGTGATGAAAAGGATAACCGCGCTGGATAGAGTTTAAGTTAACCTTGATTTTCATTGTCAGTGGCTCCTCAATGGCTTCGTACCTGACCCAGTTCATATTGGATAATGAGACCGGCCTGACGGTTGGAACACATGCGACGACAGCAAGAAACCCGACCCATATGCAGCTAATGACGTTGATGGGAAGACCAAACTTCCCGAGATCGAAGTTCCGCGCCGGAAGAACATTAGAACGCCCCCTGTAGGCGGCAATTCCCTGAGGAATAACATACGAGACCATCATGAAGACGATGTTAGCGCTGACCATGGAAGCAAAGGCAGTCGTCGATCCAACAAAGATCAACCCATAGATCTGCCAAGACTAAAATCAGGAATACGCACGCAGAAAAGAAAGTCAAGGGTTCTTACCGCTGTGAGTATGACTGTTACGCAGGTGGCATTGGCCGGCATTTGATGCCTTGCGTGAATCACTGCCAACCACGTCGACATGGGGTGGCAATTATCCCGAGATGAGGCCCAGATTTGGCGGCTCGACCCTGTGATGTTGGCTACAGCACATCCGAAGAGGCAGATTGCAAACGCAGCCAGGAGCAGGCTGGTGATGAGCCTGCTTCCCGTGGCTTGATGGTAGATTTCCAGCAGGCTGAGTCCACTGGGTGGGTTGAGAATTCTTTCCACATCGATTATCACGTACATACATGAGATGGAAAATGGAAGCGCTGCCGAGGTCAGCAAGATATCTCTTCAAAGGATATCTCTCAACAGCTGGGAGTTTCTACCTGTCGCTAGTCCGATGATAATAGGGTATACCTGCCTCGGCAATCAGTCTTGACAGGACGGTGGTGTGAGGGAATGAGACAAAACGAACAATTATTTTAGGCACATTGATCGAAGGAGAAGGGATCTCTTCGGCCATGTGGGCGCCAGCATCGAAACCCATGAATCCGTAGGTGCTGTTCAGTAAGCACAAGATGAAGAGAATACTTTTGTTGTAAGACCTATTCATGTTTTCCGTATCCGTAAATATCCGCGTATTTGATTGATAATTAGGGTATGCGTTTGCGAGAATGGCGACTGTTGTGACAGCGAGGGTCGACAGGGAAAAATACACTTGACTCGTCGGTGAGTGGCAGGGAGCTGATATGGAAACTTCTTCTCACTCACAAAGACATTCATTAAGCGCCGGAATTAAGCTCATACCAAGCACATTCAGGAGAGCGGCCAGGCAGAGAATGGCAACATAGCATAGCCATTGGTGCCATGGATGAATCCTATATTCCGGGACGTAGAGTTGATATATGGCGAGCACCACGGCGGCAACAAAATTGCACACGCTGGCAAGGCCCAACCACCAGCCACAAATGCTAACACAAGAGGACCTAGGGTCAAGATTGAAAGTAGTGAGAAATAAAATTCGAGGAGGCAAATAATTAGAAGTGACCGAGCCTGTCTTACACGTATGAAGCGAAGGATGCCCATTCCGGACTGGCAACTTTGTATGACCAGTAATACTGCGCTCCCGAGCTCGGGTATGCCGATGCGAGCTCTGCCATGCCCAGGGCCACGGTGAGATTCATCAGAGCCGCGATAACCAGAGTCCACAAAACTCCAGACGATGAGGACTCTGCCAAGCTTGACCCAATCGTGATCCCAACGGCGTTCCAGGTGGCCGTCAGGGTGAAGCCTAGTGACAGAAGTGACCACAGGGAGAACCGCCTCGGCATTACGGGAATGTACCCCTGAGCCTCGAGTTCACGATCATCAGCTTCTTCTTGGCTGGACATTGGGGAGGCTTGGTGGGTTTCTGGTCTTGGAGCTTAGTTATCACGCTCGCGGGTTATTTGACGGAGAGAACAATCAAGACGCAACAAAGAGCGAACAAAGCATATCACAGTCTTGAAGAAGATGATCATCTTTCTAAAATAATACAGCAAGGTCCCCTCCTCGTTTTGTATGATTGCTGCGCGAGGCTCTCACCAAGACCCACTTGTCACATCCAGAAAGATGCCATTTTAGGCAAATTCGCAAACAGAGCGAATTACCCAAATAGGCAAATGAAGCCAGAGGAGTGGAAGGTTTGCAGTGGCTTAAACACAATATGTGGTATCCATCACGTTGATGTTAGTGGATAACTAAGATGTAAGTGTTCCCAGATTGCAGGTAGACTTTTCAGTGAATCAAGTGATACAGAGCTGCTCGAGATGACCAGTTTTCACCGTTCCTTCGTTCATCGACTAGGAACCTGCTTGCATGCCTGGGATACAAGGATGTCTAGTACTATCAACCCACATGAATGACCGATAAGAACACAAACTACATGAAAGAGAATGCTCCAGAGAAGGCTGGTCGTTTCCAGTCATGCGGCTACCTTCCAGTCTCGGCGGTGACGAGACGGTAGATGCCACTTGGTCTACGTCTCCCAGCTATAAATCATCCAGGTCCCCATCAGATTATCTCATCATCTCCATCTATATTAGAAAGCTTTTATTCCCTGCACGCTATGGCCCAGTCGTACTTGGCCGTTCAGCTTAACGCAAAGGTCCATGAAAAGGACATAGATCTTGACATAAACATCATTGCTGGTACGTTTAACGAATATGGTAGCTCCGGATATTGTCTGAACAACATGTGTAGAGCTACCTAAAGACTCTGTTATAAAGAGATGCAGAGGGCATGGATCAAGCAACTGGGGTGAGACCGCCCGGATTGATGCAGAGGCAGACGGCGAATCGAGATCGTACTTTCTAAAAGTAAGTACTAACCCTAGATCCGCTCCCTTCTCACGGTATAGGAGAGAAGCCTGGTCGTATCAGACTAACTCAGCTAAACAATTCTCGTCCAGCGGATTACAGGAGAGAATGGCGAGCCAATGCTCCATGGAGAGTTCGAGTCGATGCGTATGATTCATGATTTAGTCCCAGAACATTGTCCCAAGCCGTTGGCCTGGGGGAATTGCACAGATCCCAACGTTCACTACCTTTTATTCCCTTTCCACGAGTTGAAGAAAGGGCGGCCAGATGCTCACCGTCTGGGTCATGCTGTTGCCGAGCTCCACACACGCAGTATTTCTCGCAACCCTACAGGCAAATGGGGGTTCCACATGACGACGTATAATGGACCGCTTGCACAGGATAACACTTGGACGGGGAGTTGGGAGGAGTTTTGGATCAGGGGCATGAAGAAGCTGTTCGAATTTGAGGAGGAGGCGAGAGGGCCGAGTGAGGAACTACGGCAACTCATCAAGCCGTACTTCGAAAAGGTCTGCCCCAGGCTGCTTCGACCGCTAGAGTCCAACGGGAGACACATCACGCCTGTCTTGATCCACGGGGACTTGTGGGTTGGAAACACGGCTGCCCAGGCAGAAACGGAGGAACCCTTGCTGTTTGATTCTGCTGCCTTGTGGGGACACAACGAATGTGAGTCAACCCGAGCGTCTCCCGTACAAAGGGCGTGTGCCTGTCGACTTACGGGGTTTCCAGATGAGCTCAGTTACATGCGTCCGGGTGCCGATGACTGGAGCAGAGAGTATGTGGAAGCTTACCACAGGCTGATCCCCAGGTCAGAGCCACAGGAGGACTGGGAGGCCAGAAATGCACTTTATGCGACGTAAGTGTACACGGGTCGTGAGACGATAGCCTATTAACAGCCATGGTTAGCCGAGTGATTGTTGTAGACTCGGCAATTTACGTCGAGCATGAGCACTTCAGAAGAATGTAAGTATCCATAGCTTGACGACATCCAAAACAGACGTTGCTAAAAAGAATTCATAGCTTGATCGAGGAGATACGCAAGCTGGTAGAGCTATTCCCCGACGGCTATCAAGAGGAAAGGGATGTCAATCCCGCAATCAAATTTTGATATAATGTTACTTTCTTTTTCTCAAATAGGCTTGGTTTCTATTGGCACAGTCATCGGACGATATGAGCCCAAATAAGCAACACTGGAGAAGTGAGCGGTCAGGATCGAGATATCAGTCTTTGGCCAGCGCCGAAAAGAAAAGGGGCCTGTGGTTAGACCCGGAGCAGGAAAGGATGAAACATGGATTTCTGGAACATTTTGGTGAAGAATTTGATAGATTAAAATGAATTCACACATTCATCTCGCTCTCCCCGAGCTATTTCCTATTGTCTCGGGTCCGAAGCCTCTTTCTTTGCGGGCAGCCACGAGCTAGAATTCTTCCAGGTACATTTATCCTCCCGCAAACTTCTGGCTGGAAGATTACGAAAGAGAGTACTGTGTGCCAGCAGAGCAGGTTACGGTAAAGAGGGGTTAATGGCGGCCCTAAGCGATCGATCACATCGAGCCCAATCTCGCCGGTGGCGAATAAGCAGTTCGGAGGCAAGCATCGGTTTTGAGTTGTGCAGGAAAAGCTGGAAAAAAGGAATAAGCTAATGGTGTCAATGGGCTTACCTTGGGCGCTGAAAAAGAAAATCCGGGGGTGTATGTAGATAATGCTCGTCCATCACGGGGTATCCAGGTCCAACAGCGCGGTAGGTTCCGACGCAAATCAAAGGATAAGTTGAGCTGATGCTTCACCCTGGAGCGAGGTGGGCGTGTTGGCAGAAGAGCTTGGAGAACCTTGAGTATCGTATCGACTGTTGAGAGTTCTCATACGACCAAACGGAGGAGCACCCCTTCCACCCTATCTCGCCTCTCAAAGGAGAAATCAATACGAGATTCTTGTTCTGATTTGTTTTCCGGGTGTCTTTCCGCCTCTGCTCTAGCTCATTCCTAGTCGTACTCCCCGGAAGGAGACAATCAAGAAGGGTCTTACTGCGAAAAAGCATGTAAGACTGAGCTTGGCTGAAGTCATGCTCGAGGCGCCAATGGGGGAATTGCTCAATGCAAGCTACGGGGCAACAATAGCGACCGGGTGGGCCTGGACGCAGCTGAGGTGCAGCAGCTGAAGTACCTGGAGGACAGTGCAGTTCAGTTGGTCGGGACAACTATTGCAGCCCCGTTATCCGCCAATCACAGCAACTGCTCATTTATCCAACCTCCCACAGCAGGAGGAAACATGAGCAAAGAGAGACCTGGAATGGACAAACGATTCTGAAGTGGCACAGATGTGCACAGCACCATGTATCATGTCGAGCCTGCACCAGCCCTTCTCGCACATTGATACAGCATGCAGCCAGATGCATGCTGCTCAATCCGGACTGCCTCCCTGCCGCTCCCAGCCACTGACCATTGGCCATTGACGGTGTGCAGCAGTGTTACGAGCCTGGGGTAGTATTAATCATGTCGCTGAGAGACTATCACTATCCCCGTGCATGCTCATACCTACCGACAACCACAGCAGCTGGCCGATTACCGCCGCCATCACATCAACCTCCCTGCCTCACCAGGCAAGCCGCAAAGGAAGCGAGGACATGGCAGAAAAGACCACGGCAGGGATTGCAGTTATTAAGGAGCTAGTCGGTTAGCAAGAGAGATGCTGAGTCATATCAGCTCATGACAAGTCACCAGTCACTTTTCGTGCCCTGCGCTACCAGCTTCTAGTCGCAGCAAAGTCCCCCGCCACATGAATCCAAACACATCCGTCATTTTATAGACAGACCTCTGCCGCTTTTCAGCTGGGCCAGACCACCCAAAGCCGTCACACCCTATTCAACATACATCATACATGCTACCTGCCCTTCATCACACCCCGAATTACCGTCCGTTGCCCCAGCGCTGAGCTCACACACGCACCCTCCGCGCCCCGCTAACTCCATGTGTCCATCGGATATGGCGCCGGGTGACGAGCGAGCACGAAAAGAGGCTGCTCACATGGCTGCTCCCGTCACCCACACATTGACCACCGTGTATGGAGTATTGATTCCACGCTTTCCGCACTTTGTCCCCTCCTGGTATGGCTACCGGTGCTTCTGGGTCCACGGAGGCGCCTAGTTCAGCTGTCCAGTCAAGTCTCAGCCAGTCTGGCCCTGTATGCGCCAAGTCGTCCCCAATCGCTGATCGGCCGTCCAGGTGCACGAGATTGACTCGCCGTCCCTGCCAGGTCTTGGGTCGGCCCAGAATGGGACCTGAGCTGTCTCCCACCGGCCGTAGTATCTATCGCAAGGCGCCTCTTCTCTGACCATGTCTGCTCTATTATCATCTAATCTCATTTCCGTCTCGGTGAGCCCATCTTTCCCTGGCCTTGCTACCCTTCCCTTGCCCGCCTTGCCTCGTCTTGATTCCCGGCCCATTGTCTGGCCCCGTGGGAAGAGTGGGCAGTGATGACGGGGTTGGTCCCAATGCTCTCGCTCTCATCCCGGCCCGTTGCTCGCTCTACCCTCTGGCTCACATATGTACGCGCGCACGTATCTATAATATAACACGCCCACCGCAGCTGTGACCTACGCCGTCGCCTGCAGTCGCCAGCATCCATGCAGCGCGCACATGCGGCTCAGTCCGTTCGAGGTTCCCGGATCGTATTGTGTGTCTCTGATTGATGTCTTATTGCTCTTGGCCCCCCAGCCTGTTGGCCGGTGCAATGCTCTCGTTCCCACTCGGAGCGACTGGGCCGCCTCTCCCTCGTTTCCTGCTTTTGCCTATCCATCCATTCACTCTGGTGTTTCACCTGGCTTTTGTCCACCCCTCCCCCCTCCCCGCCGCTCGCCCGCCTGCCGCCGTGATCTGGTCATTTGCTCTCTCCAATGCCTAATAAGCTGCCTCCGCAACAATTAAGTCACTGCCATTGCCTCACCGCGTCCTTGTGGCCGTCTCCCACCCGCTAAGCCCTCATCCTGTAACCGTACCGTCATCCAGCACGACCATTGCCATCCGTCTGTCACATATCCGCCGGCATCGTCCCTGGCCCTGTTCCCCGCGGCCCTCTCCCCTCGCCTGCCCAGTCGGCAATTCCGTGTGTGCTTGCAGTGATTTAGACTCTCCTCCCAGCCAGCGGGCATTCCTAGGTCCTGCCTAGGTCAGGTCCCAGGCCCCCTCCTCACCCCTCCATTCCCTTGCCTTAGCGGTTGAAGGCAGACAGACGGTAGGGTATCTTTGACGCCTCGACATGAGGGGAACAACCACGAGTCCGCCCATGTCCTGCGTCCCTCGTTATTAGCCCAGCTAGTGCAGAGGCCCAGAGCCCATTACCCTTGCCTGGACGCTTCGAGGACGGTACGCAAATCAGCAGCAGCACAGCAGCGGCCAGCACTAAAACTACCAACCTGATCTGGACTATTCTTCCCACATGGGCTTCTTGTCCATTTGCTCATTATTCATTCACTCAGTCAATCAATCAATCAATACTTTTCCTATTTGAACTGAATCCCAGCCTCGTCTCACCTTCTTCTCACCCTCGCTTTTCTCCCCTCCTCTCCTCTCTCTCTCTCTCTCTCTCTCGTCTTCCCTTCAACCCTTCCTCACCACCGCCTGCCCACTCTTCGCATTGTTCGCCCGCTCCGCACCTGTTGAATAGAGCTCACCTCTCCCATTGATCCGCCGTCGCCTTTCTCGGCAATACACCCTACCGACCTACTTAAACCAGCTGACCTCTCCTCCTCTTTATCTCTTCCCTCTCCTCCCCAGCAGCCAAGAGCCATTCCACTTCTGGCTGCGCTAACCCACCGTCACCGTCTCTCCGATAACGACATCATCAAGTCATCCTCATTCCCCTCCATCAAGGCACCTCCGTCTGGCCCACCGCTGGTCTGCTTCGTCCGTTTGCACCGCTGATTTCAATCTGGTTCCTGCTGAGGCCTCGCACCGTGAACTTGGTTCTCTTGTAGAATGACACAGCTCCCGCGGTTCACCATTCGATAGTCTTTGGAGCAGCCGGAACGTCCAGGATCCCCAGGTAGCGAGAGGCCTTCTTCCCATCCACGGCTCCCACCTGGTGCTCTGAGAGGCAAACGAGGCCGTGTTTAGATTGGCACCGGCCACGCAGGCGACACGGACTTGGCTCTGTCCTTTCTGGTGATTGAATACGAGTAGCCACCAGCTATCCTATTCCTGTCAGCCCGCACAAGCACTTACTCTAACACAAAACCTTACCTCCTCTCTCTGATCCAAGGCCGCTCTCACGTGCGCAGGTTGTCGTCTTGACAGAGATTTCCCTGACCATGGATGCGAGTCGACGTCCAGGCACTCAGACGGAGAGTCGCTCACGAACTGTACTATCGCCGTATGATCCGGTGCACGCTTCGAATGGACCAGTCCCTACCTTCATTACCCAGAGACATACCCTGCACCGGCACCAAGGAAACATGGACAGCACCGTCTCTGTCGTAGAGGCCATCACGCATGTGGCCGAGATGTATCCCAATCTCCAGTCCAGGCTCCCGGGTCCGTCCTCCATCACCAACATTGGGCCCCTTCCTGTCGCAGCACAGCCATTTGTGCCACTGCATCCGCCAACTGATTCCTGGCTTATGGCTGGGATGCCGAGCCATTCTTTGCTCCCCGTGACCTTTCCGCCCTCGAACCACCGGCCAGGCCATGCGCCGCCGCCACCTAGTGACTCTGGGAATGGGAGGGACCATTTAAGTTTCATCTCGAACCCAGCCACCAGTGTTGGTGCTGGTGGCACAAGAGGGATGAACCCGATGCCATTTTCGCCAACCGAGCCTGAGCATGGGAACATGGAACAAGAGCGAGACCGGAACTCCGTGCAGGCGGAGCGCTCCTATCCCCCAAGCTGGGCTCGCAACTATCTTCCGCCTTCTACTCCGCTCCAACTCCATGGGCCACCCGAGAGGCAGTACAATAATGGCCCTCAGCAGCCTCCAACTAATATGCAAGGTGAGCATGGAATTTTCTCAACGCCCCCTCCGTTTGAACCTTCTTTTGCCTCCCTGCATGATTTCCCCGCTTCTTCTCGTAACACAATGACAATGTGTTCCCAAGAGAACAGTTTGGTGCACGTCACTCACACAACTGCCGCCATCCCACCACGCACATTATTCTTCGTAAAAACCTACTCCTGCTAACCCTATCTAGAATACACACAAGAAACCAATATACACCTCATCTCGCCTCCGAATCTCGACCGTCGGCGTCAGTTCATGTCCCAGAGATCGCGGAGAAACATGTCTTCTCAAACCAGTGTTCAGGCCAGTAGGGTTGAGCGCCAGCAGAGTAACAGAAGCCTGAGTGGCAATGTGTCAACCAACAGAACCAGAGTTGATGGTCACTCGCGACGAAGCGCACATTGGTCCGCTCATGCAAGGCAGAATTTCCATCGCGCAACTGGTGGAACGGAGACATACGTGGATACCGCCTACGTATCAACCAAGCCGCCAGCGAAGCGTGTTTTGCTATCACTCGAGGAGGTGGAGATCTCGGAACTTCCTGAAGATGAAAAGAGTATGTTTTCCGAGGTGCATGCACTTGCAAAAGACCTTGCTTTGCTAATGAGGGTTTGGCCTTAGCTTGCATCATCTGCTACAACGACTTTGGCGATGAGTCCCCAGAGGGCCATGCTGAGACACCACGCCGTCTCCCCGAGTGCAAGCATGTTTTCGGTGATCGATGTATCAGAAAGTGGTTGCAGCAGTCTGAAAACTGCCCATATTGCCGTGCCACGGTTGGTTATTTGAGAGCATCCGATCTGAACATTGCCCATTACGCAGAAACGCCCCGAGAGTCATCAGAGTACGTCCACGACTTTCCTTTTCCTTTCCTTACCTTCCCCCCACATGGACACAGTGCTCTATTCTAGTCAAACAGCTCGTAGCTGATCTGATTTCAAGCGATGAACCGGACGAGCTTATCGGAACCTTTTTCCACATGGGCGGGTCCCAGTTACAACCACTACCTTACTACGCCATACCCCGTACTCCAGAGGAGCGAGACCGCCATCGCCTCTTCCTTTTACGAACCCGAGACGCTCAGATGAGAGAAGCCCAAATGAGAGAGGCCGAAGAGTCTCCCTCCCGTTCCTCCGTTGAAAGCGAAGATATCTTGGACTCCCCTCCCTCTCGGGCACCATCCGACGTGGACCCCACGATCCAGACACCAACACATAGTCACTTCCACAGAGAGGATATGATGGCAACGCCCCCCTCGACAGCACCTCGTCTTGCGACACAGCAAGGCCCCAGCGCTCCTACTATGCCTGAACAGAATCCAAACATTCCACATCCAGGGCCCATGGGTGGAAATGGTTCTCGGAGCTCGGGAACCAACTCGTCTACGCAAACAATATCATCAAGCCCCAGATCGCCACACGCGAATCGGGCGCGGAACTTTTCTACGCTGGTGAATTTCACCTTCGACTCGTATCCCGATGCAGGTCCGGCAGGCGGTCCACTCTTCCTGCCTTCTCTTGGTCCTGGAGCTTCTCATGGCCGGTCTGGCAGAGGCCGGCGATGTTAGTCTCGGATGGACTCACAATGAGATAATTTTATTATCGAACCTACAGAATGCCGATCAACTTTTCTTTTCTTCCTTCACTTGAACTCTCTTTTTTCTCCAGACAGCTATGACACGGATATCCATTAGGCGGAGTCAAGGAGTGTGTTTCTTTTTCCCCGCTATAGGAATGGCAAAGGTCCGCGGGGGGCCATACGCAATTTGACAATAGATTGGCCGGTGGTTGATGCTTTCTTTTGATCTTTTCCTGCTTAGGAAACTACGTTTCAACAAAGGCCTGCTGCTAGTCGAGAAATATTAGACTGTGTTGAGCCAGTAATAGAGAAACACCTAATGGCGCGCTTGATAAAAGTTGTATCAGAAATGATCATGGGCATCTATATGAAATTGTGTAACGTGGTCCATAAAATCGAAATTATAAGGAGAGCTACTTGGGCTCACGGGTTTACCTTAGCTGGGCATGAATAATTTAGTGTCAAGACGATTCCGGCAGGGTACATAGGTTGATAGTAGGGAGCATCAATAGAGTTTGGGTTATCCCCTCATCCCGGCATTCCCTCCACACCTTGCAAACGAACGAATCGGCATGCAAACTGCAACAGGAAATCGGCATACGAAACAAATCAAATCAATCGATAACACATTCATACATGGGGGAACGACTGGATGAGGAGGAAACTAAGATGCCATGGATTCCGAGTTAGTCCACTTTAGGCGACGATCGTAAGGCAAACAAGCCCAGGGTATATTCCAGATTGCCTGATGTGGGGCCATCGACTGCTGCCAACTCACACATACATCATCCTGTGGTAGTACTACATGTCAAGACCAGCCAAAGAGGGGGGGCTGTCAAGAGCGTGCTGCCGTGGACAAAAATGGGCCGTCGGGTCTGGGATGTGCCTAACCATGGCACAGATAGGACTTGGGTATGCAGACTTACTTGCATGCCTGACTGATTGAAGTGGCCCGAGGGCATCCATGCTATCATGTGCGTAAGCGCCTGAGCCGAAGATTAATTTCGCTCAAGGTCAGATGGGGGATGCTCTGTAAGCAGCCTCGATAAGATAGAATTCAGCTGGTAGCAGACGGTCGGCTTCAAGCATGAGACGAATTGCAAGTAGGTTAGGTTTTGAGAAAGGAACGATGCCGTCTGGGTAGACTGAACTCTAGATGCTAGTAGCTACTCTTTAGGGTAGGCAGCTTTCAGCCACACAAAACCGTAATATTACTGTTGAGGTGCCCGTTTGATTTCGTCAGCCACACACCCTTTGACGTTAGACGATTCGGTCCCAGCTGAACGGCCCACTGTTAATGGGGTCGGGCCGGGGAGCGGGCGGCTGCTGATTGGGTGGCGAAACAATGGCTTCCCAGCCACCGCCTGTTAGTCGGCTCCACCCCCCGTCCAACGAGGCAGTTACGGGGGTCATCGCAGCTGAAGCCAAGCTCGATCCCCAATCAAAACAATACAGAGGTCAACTCTCCATTTTCCTCCTTCCCACCCCCGTCAACCACCACACACGCGCACGCACATGCCGCCATCATGGCAGATTCCCGTCGCCGGAGCCCCGACAGCTCCAGAAGGCGTAGGAGCGAGGGAAGAAGAGACTCTCGCGAGTACACTGCCAATCGGTCGAACATGCCGTCCTATTACACCGACCAACAGCCACAACAACAACACCAACAGCCCAGGCCGTACGTGACGCCGCAGAATTCGACGCCCCAGTCCCAACACCACTATGAATACCAGCAATACTCCCAGCAGCGGCAGTCGCAGTCGGCGCGCCGTTCGCGAGCACCCTCTAGCAGCTCGTCGTCGGGCAGCACTAACTCATCATCATTAATGGACATATCCCGATTCCAGGACACGAAGACGTTTGGTGGCGTCTTCAGCACATTTTTCCGAGCACCATCGGAGCGACGGAGGGTGAGGCGGAGGAGGAGCGGCAAGAAGAAGTCGCGCGTCCTCTACTTTGGAAACTCGTCGTCCTCGTCAGTCAATTCGGATCTGGCTTACGGCACCGGGTATGTTCGACGTAGGAGGAGCCGCGACTTCAGCCAACAGCACACTCCAACCCACGCGCCGGTCCAGCCTGCAACTTACGCGGCGGCGCATCACTCCTCGCCCCATGGACAGAACCCCCCCTACTACCAGCAGCAGCAACAGCAGCAGCAGCCGCAACCGCAGCCTTTCTTTAACAACGAGCCTCACCGCCCGCTCCATGCCGAGCCACAGTCCATCAATCCGGTAGGTGTCGCCGCCGCAGGGGCAGCGGCCGGCGTGGCCGCGAGTGCGGCGCTGGGCCTGGCTGCCGACTACTATCATCCCGATGTCCAGATCCCATCTAAGCCGGCCACGCCCCAGCGACGGAAGACGGATGATGAGATCATGGCGATCGGTCGCCAGCTGTCCGACCTTGCCAAGCGCCAGAACGAGGAGGACCTGAGGGCGCGAGGCGTAACTCGACCATCACGGTTAGTATCCGCCGCTGCCAAGATTGAAGAGTATCGCAAGTTGAGGAAGTCTAGAAAAAATAACATGAACCGCGGGCTGGTGTACTCCAAGCCGCACCGCGACTCCTCTGATGATGACTCGGATTGGGAATCGGCTTCCGACGACGATTCGTCCGAGGATAGCGCCGATTCTGAGATGGCGTACGGAACCGTTGTGTCGCAGGCCATCCGCCCCTCAACTGCAGCCATTGGTGCCGCGGGCGCTGCGGCAGCGTATGGAAGATACTCGAACAACAACAACAACAATAGCCGTCCCGGATACGGTAACCGGAATGTTGTTGACCCGACGTTATTTGGACCCTACAATTCACTCCGTGGGATGATCAACACACCCTGCGGTTTTGGAGATGAGCGGAACGGAGCAGCCCAGCACAAGGGACCTAATCCTCTGAAGCGCTCCTCGACAGAACCGTTGGGGCCTATGCATAATGTCTACCCGATGCCAACCTCTGATCCACTCAGGTTTAACGCCGGTCGTGACCCCCGCCATGAGCATACGCGCCCTGCACCTGTTCCGTTGCAGCACCCCGCCCCGAGGACCCCTGTGCCTGACAAGGTCTTCAGGGCAGATAAGATCGAGGACGTCAGTCGCAGGGAGTCTGCACGCGATCGTTCAGACTCTTCCCCGGGTTTCGGAAAGATGGCTGCCGGTGCTGCGGCTGCTGGCGTTGCCGCCGCGGTGATTGGCGGAGCGTTGACCAAGGACAAGAGCAAGGACGACCACGAGTCTCGAGACCACCGTAATGGTGACGATAAGGATCGGGAGAAGCGATCCCGCCGAGCCGATCGGGAAGACGAGAATGATACGGAGTCGCGGAAGTCGAGGCCTTCGTCCCAGTTCCGAGACGAGGTCGACAAGTACGCCAGGTATGCCAATGAAAGGTCCTCCAAGTCCAAAGGCGACAAGTCCTCCAAATCCAGAGACGACAAGTACTCTCAGTATTCCGATGATAGGGCCTCCAAGTACGACGATGACAGAGGCTATAAGTACGATGATGACAAGTCCTCAAAGTCAAGAGAAAAGTCAAGAGACAGCAAATACTCTGGGTATGCCGATGACAAGGTGTCCAAGTACGATGATGACAAGTACTCGAAATACAGTAACGCAAAGTCCTCGAAACGCGATGACAAGGTTTCTAAGTACGAAGACGACAAGTACTCTAAATCTAGAGACGACAAGCACTCAAAGTACGGAGATGACAAGTATTCCAAGTACGAGGACGACAAGTACTCTAAATATAGAGATGACAAATACTCCAAGTACGGAGACGACAGATACTCCAAATATGGAGAGTCTTCGAAATCCAAGGACTACGAGGAGCCTTCCAATTCTCGAGAACTTCCAGCTCTGCAGAAGCTTCCCTACGAATCCACTCCTGCTTCCGACACTTCCTCAAAGGCGCCAGTTGACCCCTTCCAATTTCAGGTTGACAATTTCATGACGCCTGCAGTGTCAGACCCCGCACGCCCTTTGACTCCCATGGTGGTGACGGTTGATCGCGAACCAGTATTTGATGACGATTCCCCGCCGTACACGCCACCAGGTGATAGGAGGATGAGTCGGAAAGACTCCTTCGAGCTTGAGCAGCAGTATCAGACGAGGGCAGCTGACGAATTCCCGAGTTTTGTCAGCCGCGTCGCTCCTGCTGTAGTGCCTGCCGCAGCAGCAGCAGTAGCCGCTGGTGCGATTGTCGCGGCATCGAAGTCTGACGATGTTCCTAAATCTACTGAGCCTTCACGCGAGCGCAAAAAGGAGAGCAGGAGTAGGAGCAGAAGTGAGAGGAAAGCTACAGAGTCCAAAGACGAAATCCAGGAACAGGCAGACCGATATTATCGAGAAGCAGAGCAAGCTAGGAAGAAGGCATCTGAAGAGATACGGTCTCGTAGCCCGTCCCCCGAGGCTAAAGGAAACGAGCGTGAGCACGTCCGCGTTGTCACACCGCCCGGGTATCGGGAACGTACCAAAGGGCTTTTCGACGGACCGAATGCTGATGTGTTGATCGACCACATGTTCTTTCCACAAGAATCAGAGCGGTTCCGCACAGAGCGCAGATTGGACGGCAGCTTTGCTTCAGCGAGAGACCCCTCTGCTGACGGAGAGCGACCTGTTCTGAACCTCACATACCCTACCCCCGAGTCAAGCCGCGCCCCCTCGAGTTCTCGTGAGCCTGACCCTGCACCGGAGAAGGAACCGGAGAAGGAGCCGGAGTGGGACAATGTCCGAGATGTTGAGCCCGAGGCTAACAAGCGCCGAGATTACCATGATGACACGTCAAGATCTGACGTTGGTACTCGGCGTAGTAATGATGAGAGAGACGACACCACCTCGACATATGTGATCGGAGCGGGCTCCTATGACCAGGTGACAGTAGCGCCCCCCACTCCCAAGTCAGTGAAATGGGGAGAAAATGAGACCAAGAGCTACGAAGTCATCACTCCCGAGGCAAGAGACGATGTCGAACATGACTTCAGTCGCTCTCAACCTGACGACAAGCCACGCCCTCGCCTGGAGAAGGGTAGTCAGTGGGGTATGATGGCTGCTGCATTGGCCGCCGGTGCCGCCGGTGCCGCTGGAACCTTTGCCGGTTCAATCATTGGATCGAAATCTCGAGAGGATGACGATGCAGGCTCATCGCGATCCCTTGAGAAGCAGTCAACGGACGGTAGCTTTGACAAGTTGGATGATCTGATGGATGCCCCCCCTGTCCCAGGACCTAAGCCTGCAAGCCCTAAGCCAGAGCATATGCCTGGTGGTTATGCAGACGACATCGAATTCGCCGCAACCCTGGCAGCGGGTCTGAAGCACACGGGCTTTGATGCCAACATTGTGATTGATGACCCCACGTATCATCGAAGAGACTCACCCCCTGGTTCGAATGAACTGAACGGCAAGCACTACTATCCCCCTGCGGTGGACTCTGTATCAGACTTGAGTCTCCAAGAGAAGCATCGCGGCCCCGAGCCGGGCTTCGTTCTGGGTGAAGTTGAAACGCCCAAGGACGAATCCCTGCCGTTTCAGGATACCGAAGACTCTGCTTTGAAAAAGCTGAGCAAGAAGGAGAGGAAGAGACTTGCGAAGCTCGCAAAGGAGTCCTCTGATGTTGCCGACGCGTCACAAGTCTCATATGAGCCGGAGTCCCAGTCAAGAGCTATATACGAGGACCCTGAACAAGCCGAGCCGGAGCCGAAGCTTAGCAAGAAGGAAAAGCGCAGGCGAGAGAAGGCTGCAAGAGAGTCCATTCTCGATGGACAGGACAGTGATGGGCAGATTTATGCTGAGCCAGAACCCCTCAATCACTCTGAAGCATCCTGGGAAAACTGGGAAGATACCTCGGATCTGAAATCACGAGTTTCGAGAGCTCGGGGCATCGATAGTTCCGAGCATTCGCTCGTTTCGGCACCGATCGGTTCACCATCAGAGGTGAGGTCATCCAGGGCGATCCACTCAGATGACGAATGGGAGTCCACCAAGAAGTCAAAGAAGAAATCGAAACGTAGCTCAGGCTATGATTCCCCTTCACGAGACTTACCCGTACGATCGGCTACGGCATCGGAGGTCGGTGTCGAGGATTCAGGGAAGAAGAGCAGGAAGTCGAAGCGAAGAAGCGGCACGGACGACGACTTTTACAGATATGATGACGAGCGACGGAGTCGAACCCGTGATCTCTTCGAGGACCGCGAAGTCAGTTCGATAGTATCTGAGCCTCGCACCGAGGACCGACAGAGGAAGAGTCGTAGCAGCAAAACCGATTACCGTTATGACGACGATGACACCAAGTCTGTTGCTTCCGCTCCTGGTTCATCACGGAAGAGCAGGGAGTCTGAGAGGAGCAAGGAGCCCGACAGGAGATCAAGTGGACTATTTTCGAGCATATTCAAGTCCAGCAAAGATGGTGAAAAGCAGAAGAAGGATTCTTTTTTAGGTAATGCCGGCACTTTTGGCGCGGGTGTCGGCATCCTAGGAATTGGGGCAGCAGCTCTCACTCCTTTCAACGCCAACAATGCTTTCTCGGAAAAGAAGACTGACCATGAGGATATTTCTGAATGGTCGCGTAATGTCGAGAATTATGACCCCGACATCGTGGCTCGTGCAATAAAGCCGGCCATTGATCCCCAGTATGGGGATCTTCTTCCACTTCCCCCAAGTGAGCCTGGTACGCCTGTGGGCACGCCAGAGGAACTTCCTACCTTACCGGATAGCCGGCCAGATACTCCTCCAGAGGAGCGAGCATTCAGGCGTGACCGTCCATTTCACAACCGGCGACGAAGTGCTCAGGAGACGCCGTCCAAAACTCCTAGCAACACCGCCATCCCCATCCAACTCCGAATGGGAGGCCGATCTGGGCCCTCTTCCCCGGCTCTTTTCAAGGCTTCGCCCATAAGCTCCCCTGTTGTTGGCATGGCCGAAAGCCCGACCAGATCCAGCCCAACGGTGGTGCGACGACCTACCTCATGGGATAGCAGCCGCGAGTTCAAGCCACTGTACTTGGTCGAGCACTCTCGCCATATCTCCATCGACGCGCCCATCCTGGAAGCCGATCTCCCTCCTTTGCCTCCAAGCGAATCATCCGCTCGCGGGTCTCCTCCCGAGTCTGAAGGCTGGGAGTCTGCCCACGAATATGCACAGGCTATGAATGACCGAGGATTCGACTACGGCCACTACGGTGATAATTCTGGATTGCGACTTGATACATCTTTGCCTCTGGCGCAGCCTACCCACGACGAGGCTGGCTCTCAGGAAAGCACACCCAAGGCTGAAACGAGGCCAGAGTTTCCAGATATGTCATCGCTTCCAAGAGCTCTTGATCAGGGCGAGCCGAGTACCCTGGGTAGCCCAATCGAGATGCGCCAGCCGGAGCCTGAGCCTGTTGAATCCACATCAAGAGATAGAAGTTCATACCTGCTGCAGTCTGCCCCCTCATCTGAGAAGTCAATTCGGTCCATTCGCGGAGATTTCGACGACTACAGGTTGCCTGAGGCTCCCAACTCTCCCACCAGGAGGTACGGTGCAGAGGAAATGCCCGTGGTAGGCTATAAGGATGACCTGGCCTCTGGTGATGACCACTTCTCCGATGCTCATGACATTAGCAGCGTCAGATCCGTTGAGCTAATTTCTGATACTGTTAAGGGCAAGGGCAAGAGTGTAGAGTTTGTCGAACCTTGGGTTGCTGAAGATGTCTCTACCTCTGGAGATGCGCTTGCCATCGAACGGGCTCCTGCCGCTGAAGATGCTTCCGTCATCGAGAAGACTCCTGCTACTGAGGAGATCTCTTCTATTGAAAAGGCTCCTGCCACTGAAGCTATCCCTGTCGTCGGAGCGACTCCGATTGTTGAAGAGGTCTTATCTGTCGAAAAGGCAGCCGCCACTGGAGATGTCCCTGTCATTGAAGCGACTCCTATTGTTGAAGAGGTCTCTGCCGAAAAGACTCCTGCCACTGAAGATGTCTCTGTCATTGAAAAGACTCCTGTCGTTGAAGAGGTCTCGTTTGCTGAAAAGGCTCCTGCCACCGAGGAAATCTCTTCTACTGAAAAGACTCCTGTTGTCGAAGAGGTCTCTGCCACTGAGGATATTTCTGTTATTGAAAACACTCCGACTGTTGAAGAGGCCCCTGTCGTTGAAAAGGTTCCTGTCACCAAGGAAATCTCTTCTATCGAAAAGGCTCCTATTACCGAGGAGACTTCTGTCGAACAGGCTCCTGTGGCAGAGGAAACACCTATTACTAAAGAGGTCCCTGTTACTGGGGAGGAAGAGCCCACGGCTGAGGAGTTAAGCAAAATGTCGGCTAAGGACAGGAAGAAGGCTAAGAGAGCAGCTAAGAAGAGAGCTGAGGCGCTGGCTCTTGGCGCTACCGAAGACGTTTCTGTCGCTGAAACGGCACCTGCCGCCGAAGTTGTCCCTGTCATTGAAAGCACTCCGGCACTTGAAGAGGCCCCTGCCACTGAAGATGTCTCTGTCGCTGATAATGTTCCTGCCACTGAGGAAATCTCTTCTATCGAAAAGACACCTGTCACCGAGGAAATCTCTTCTATTGAAAAGGCACTTGCCACCGAAGATGTTTCTGCTGCTGAAAAGGCTCCTGCCACTGAGGAAATCTCTTCTATCGAAAAGGCCCCGGTTGCCGAAGAGATTTCTTCCGTCGAAAAGGCACCTCTCACTGAGGCGACACCTGTTACCAAAGAGGTCCCTGGGGAGGAAGAGCCTACTGCTGAGGAATTAAGTAAAATGTCAGCAAAGGATAGGAAGAAGGCCAAGAGAGCGGCCAAGAAGAGAGCCGAGGCGCTGGCTCTTGGCCTTGCTGCTGGTGTAGCTGTCGGTGTTGCTGCTAATACTTCGAAATCGACTGAGTCCGAAACGCCTGCGCCTACAGAGGAAGAAACTTCTGCCCTTGAACAAGCACCTGCCAATGACAAGGCCATTACCACAGAAGAGATTCCTCCAGTAGAAAATGCCCCTATTGCAGATGAAGCTTCTACAACAGAAAAGGCCCTTAATGCGGACGAGGCTCCAACAGCAGAAATACCCCCCACCACCGAGGAGATTCCCCTGACAGACAATGCCCCTTTTGAGGATGAAGCCCTGACTACAGAAAAGGCCGTGGTTGCGGATGAGACACCAATAGCAGAAAATGTTCTCACCACAGAGGAGACCCCCATGGTAGAAGAGGTTCCTACTACAGATGACGCCCCGATCACAGAAAAGGCCCTCGTCGCCGAAGATGCTCCTACGCCAGAAAATCTTGTTATCACAGAGGAGGTTCCTACGACAGAGAAACTTCCTACTGCCGCTGAGGTTGCTCTCACAGAAGAGGTCCCAACTGCAGAACAGGTTCCTGCCGTAGAGGAGGTTCCTAGCACAGAACAGGCTCCCCGTATAGACGAGACCCCGATCGCAGAAGAGGCCCTGGCTCCAAAGGGTGCTCCTCCCATTGAGGAAGCACCTGTCACAGAGGATACTTCAATCGCCAAGGAGCTTCCTGCTACAGCGGAAACCTCCACTGAGGAAGCCCCTACTAAGGAGGAAGCCCCTGCTGTAGAGGAAGCCCCTACTACTGAGGAAGCACCTGCTATAGAGGAAGCCCCAAGGAAGGAGGAAGTTCCTGCTATTGAGGAAGCCCCTACTCCTGAGGAAGCACCTGCTTTAGAGGAAGCCCCAAGGAAGGAGGAAGCTCCTGCTATTGAGGAAGTCCTTATTAAGGAGGAACCCCTTACTACTGAGGAGGCGGCTACAAAAGAGGAAGCCTCTACTACAGCGGAAATTCCCGTCTCCAAAGAGGCTCAAGCTGTCGAGGAAGAGCCCACTGCTGAGCAGCTAAGCAAAATGTCAAATAAAGAAAGGAAAGCAGCGAGGAAGAAGGCGGCAGCCAAGAAGAGGGCAGCTGAAGCCCTAGCCCAAGAGGCTGCCGCTTCAACTCCCGAAGCCTCCGAGGCTCAAACGCCTGCTCTTACAGAGGAAGTCTCCACCACTAAGGACGCTCCAACCTCAGATGAGGGTGCTCTTGCTACAGGCGTCTCTGCGACATCCGAGGCCCTTGCGTCAGAGGAGCCTACTATTGCCAAGGAGGCTCCTGCCACCGAGGAGCCCCCCACTACAGAGGAAGCCATTACTCCTAAGGATATTCCTGCTATTACAGAGGATTCAGTTCCAGATGAGGTTACTAGGGCTAAGGAGGTTCTTCCTATGGAAGAGGCTCCGGCTACAGAAAAGGCCACAATTCCTCAAGACATTTCTACCACCCCGGATGCTTCTGTCGTCAAGGAAGGCCCTGTTTTAGACGATGTAGCGACTTCCAAGGAGATATCTGCCTTGGAAGAGACTCCAGTTGTAACGGAGGATCCTGCTGTCGAGGCTGCCCGTGTTGCAAGAGACGCTGAAATTGCAGCAGAGGAAGCAGAACTCGCTGCGCTAGAGCTCAAGAAGTCAAAGAAGACAGGCAGACATATTCTGAGAAAGGATAGGGAGCGCTATGCAGTCTTGGTCGCAAACGCAGAACAGCGCGCCGCAGAGCAAGCAGCACGTGAGGCTTCCACCGCCGAAGTGACCCCTCCTACAAAAGAAAATGCAGAAGAGACCCCAAGCACCAAAGAGGCTCCTGCCACCGAGGAGACTGTTGAAGAAGCACCCGTCGCTCAAGAACACTCTGTCACGGAGACTGCTACAGAGACCTCCGTTGCTCAAGATATCCCTGCTACAGAGACTACAGAGGAAGCCCCTGTCGTTAAAGACGTCTCTGCCACGGATGGGACTACTGAAGAGACTGCAGTCTCCAAAGAGGCAACTGCTACAGAGGCAGCTGGTGAAGAGACCCCTATTGCAGAAGAAATCCCTGTGCCAAAGGAGGCCCCTACCGTCGAGGAGGCTTCTTCCGCAGAGCAAGCCATTGAAGAGACTCCCGTCCCCACAGATGTCTCTATCACAGAGAAGACGGCCGAGGAGACACCCATCGCTGAAGATATCCCTGCCGTAGAGACTGCTGAAGAGACCCCCATCGTCGAAGAGATCCCAGCCACGGACGAGACTGCTGCAGAAGCTCCAGCTCCCAAAGAGATAGCTGCTACAGAACAGCCTTCTGAAGAGGCCCCCATCATCGCAGAGCCCCCTGCTATAGAGGAGACAGTTGAAGTAATTCCCGTTTCCAAAGAGGCCTCTTACACCGAGGAGATATCTGCTCCAGAAGAGCCTCCTGTTGCTAAAGAGGCTCCGATTGTAAAAGAGGACCCTGCTATCGAGGCTGCTCGTGCTGCGAGAGAGGCAGAAATTGTAGCAGAGGAACATGAGCTTGCTGCCCTGGAGTTCAAGAAGTTAAAGAGGGGTAGACTTACTATGAAGAAAGACAGGGAACGCTACGCGGTCTTACAGGCAAACGCCGCGCAACGTGCTGCAGAAAAAGAGGCTAGAGAAGCAGAAGAGCGAGCAGCCCGTGAAGCTCCCATCGATAAGGACGTTCCAGCTGTCAAAGAGGCTCCTGCCGAAGAGGCCCCGGTCACTAAGGAGATCCCTACTACAGAAGAATCTACTTTCCAAGCGGCGCCCATTACCAATGAGGGTCCGGTTACAGAGGAGGTGCCTGCTGCTAAAACAGATGACATTTCCGCTTCGAAGGAGGTTCCTGCTGTTGAAGAAGAACCAACTGCTGAAGAATTAAGCAAAATGTCAGCCAAGGACAGGAAGAAGGCTAAGAGAGCGGCTAAGAAGAGAGCCGACGCGCTGGCTTCAGAGACAGCGACTGACTCACAAATACCTGCCGCAGCAGACGAAACAACCCCTGCGACAGTGGCTGAGGACGCTGAGCAGCCATCTGTTCGAGAGTCAAAGTCGGGTGGAGATCTTTCAGTGCAGCCTGAGCCCGATACTTCGGCAGAAGTTGTAGCCGGAGATGAAAAATCTATTGAGGATAAGCCCCTCGAAGACAAGCCTGCCGAAGAAAAGCCCTTTGAGGATAAGCTCGCCGAAGATAAGCTCGCCGAAGATAAGCCAGTCGAAGACAAGCCAGTTGAAGACAAGCCTACTGAAGACAAGCCTGCTGAGAATAAGCCTGCCGAAGACCAGCCCGCTGAAGGTAAGCTAGCTGAAGACAAGCCTGCCGAGGATCAGCCTGCCGAAGATAAGCCTGTGGATGAGCTTTCAACTGCCCTGCCAGAGGCCGTTGGCGATGTAGAGCAGCCCAAAGTGGAGAGCCACAGCAACACTGATGCCTTGAATGATGCACCATCGGAAACTGCCCTGGTGGAGGAGACTGCCACCGCCAAGACTACTCAGGAACTTGAAGCAGCAGAAGATGAGCTGGCTGAACCCAAAGCTGAATCTCAACCCGAGCCCGTTGACCCGGAGACCACACCGAAGAAGTCAAAGAAGAAAAAGAAGAAGGGCAAAGGAGGAGCACAGGACGTTGAGGAATCTCAACCTGAGGTTTCTCAGACTGAAGAGACTTCTAAATCTGAAGAGAAACGTAGCGATCTCTCTGAACCAGCTACTGAGTCGGCACTTGTGCCAGTTTCTGAAGCCACTGCTGAATCTACCGAGGCAAAGTCAGAGCAAGTCCTTAAAACTACGCTGGAGCCAGCCACTGAGCCCGTTGCTGAGACCACGTCGGAGGCACCTGTCACGGACACTGCAATTGGGTCAACCATTGATGACCGTGGAGATGTTGAAGCCATAGCACAGTCAATTGAAGCTGACACCTCGAACGATGCCCCGCCCGAAACTTCGCTTTCTACTCAAGAAGAACCCACTGCTGAAGATTTAAGTAAAATGTCGGCGAAGGAGAGAAAGAAGGCGAAGAAGGCGGCGAAAAAGAAGAGCCAGCTTGCTGAGGACGCATCCTCCAAAGCGGAACAAGAACTCAAAGAAGCGCCTCAGGAGGAACTCAAGGAGGAAACCAAGGAGGAAACCAAGGAGGAAGCCAAGGCAGAACCTAAGGAGGAAGCCAAGGAAGAATCTAAGGACGAATCCAAAAAAGAGACCAAGGAGGAAGCCAAAGAAGAATCTAAGGAGGAATCTAAGGAGGCACCCTTGGAGGAACCAAGGGCTTTGGCCGACGCTAGCTCTACAGAGGTCCATGAACACGACGCCACTCAAGAAGCTCCTACGGATGACCTTGCTATTACTGAGCAAGTACGCGGCGATGCTGAATTTGGAGCTGTCCCAGGGGAGCCGTTTGTTTCCCAGGATCCTGTCTCTCAGCTGGACGAGGACGTAACTTCTCCATCGAAGAGTAAGAAGAAAAAGAAGCGCAAGTCCGTGCAGCTCGATGATACACCTAAAGTTTCTGGCGAGACCACAGGTGATCTAGAGTCCAAGACAGAAAAAACTGAAGACCAGCCAGAGAGGCAGGAAGAGTCAAAAGTCGAGGACCTGACTACAGCGGAACCTCAGATAATTACCGAGACGCAGCAGCTTTCCGAGGAACCCATCGGCGACGGCAATTCCACACTCGATACCCAACAAGCTGCCGCTGCTACCGAGGCAGATACGAAAGCACCCGAACCTACCGATGATTTGACGACAAGCCAGGATCTGATCTCAGAGCCGTTGTTCTCCCAAAATGAGAGACAGGCAGAAGCCACGGAGGAACCTTCTTCAACAGAACCCACCCAAGTCACTGTGCCGGTTGTAGAAGAACCAGAAGAAGCTACGAGCTCTAAAAAGAAAAAGAACAAGAAAAAGAAGAGCAAGCAGGCAGCCGCAGAACTTGATGTATCGGAGACACCTACGCCGGATATTACTTCGATTCCAGGAGACCAAGAGCAACCCAGCGGCGATAAAGAGACCCCCAGCGCCACTGTCATCTCATCGCCAGCGCCGGTTCCCAAGGCTGAGGTTGATGATAACGCCAAGGAACAAAAGCCCAAAGACGATACAGCAGGATCAGGCTGGGGGTTTCTAAACAAGTTCTTTGGAAGGAAAGCCTCGGATCAGGAGCCTCAAGATGTGCCCAGAGAAACCAAAGCCGACACTCAAGACAGAAAAGCAGACGGACAGGGCGCAAGTGATGTCCCTCAAATCTCTAGAGAAACCGATGCGAAGACAGAGAAGTCTAAATCCGGTGATTTTGGTTCACTCGACACTCCTGACGCCGGTAAAGAAGACCCCAAGGCTGAAGCGCCAGGCTCTAGTGATATTCCTATCGGTGGAGAGGTCACTGCCGACACAGAGGAGTCTAAAGATGAAACTCCCGCTGCAGAGGCACAAGACAAACTGCCTGGAGATGAACCGCTTAGTCCTACCAGCAAGAAGGCAAAGAAGAAGGCCAAGAAGCAGCAGGCCAGGCTAAGCTTAGGCAGCACTCCAGAGACGCCACCAGAAACAACCCAAGACACGGCACCCGATCCTGCAGAAGAAGCGGTTAAGGTGGTGGAACAACCCGAAGCTGTGGAGCAGAATGTGAAAGACGAACAAACCATCCCCGAAACGACTGAAGTCTCTACCGTTGAACCTGAGGTAGTAGCTGAATCTGGCGAGGCTCAGCCCGAGGAAGCTTCAAACGAACCTTCTACAGATCCCAAGTTGGATGCCGAAGTACCTGCTCCTGAGCAGGAGGCCGAAGCCGAGACATCGAAGAAGAGCAAGAAAAAGAAGAAGAAGAAGGGCGGTGCGGATTCCCCGGTTCAATTGCCCAACACAGATGCTGATTTGCCGGATTCTTCCCTTCAGGAAACCGATAGGACCCCGGATACTGGCCGAATCCAGGATAGCGGAACCGAAAACGTCGTCGACCATGGCGCAGAGAAACCCTCGAGCTTTGTTATTCCCGCCGAGGAAATCTCGACCGGCCTGGAGTCTGAAGCACAAGACGACAGGGGTGGGTTCAATTCCAAGAATTCCGAAACGGATGAGCAGAATAAGAAAGCTAAAGAAATCGAGTCTGAGGAAACACAGGACCCCGAATCGACCGCCCTATCGGAACCGGACGCGAACTCATCTCGACCGCAAGATGACGCATACCGGACAATAGAACCCTCCTCAATAATCCCCTCGGACGCCGTATCGGACCCCTCCCAAATTTCCAATCTAAATCCTGTTGAAGAGAGTACCGGGGCTGCTGGGTTGTCTAAAAAAGAGAGGAAGAAATTGAAACAGTTGAAGGACAAGGAAATGGCATCTGGCGTTTTTGACGAGGGAAATTCCAATGAAGACAGCCAAGTTGGCGAACCTTCCTCTGTATCTGAAGCGAAAAGAAATGAAACGGTTATGAATGATGAAACGTCAAAAGGGGACGAGACAGAATCAAAGTCCGCCACATTTGATCTTGGCGATAAATCTTCGCCAGCTGAAGAGCCTGAGCCTACAACTCTTGGTGATATGCCCGTTGGAGAGCAGGACACTGGACTTCCCAGTACTTCTCAACAAGATGTCTTGAGCGACGGGCTTCCTAAGGAGGCTGCTCATGCTACCAATGAGAGCCAATCTCCTGTGGATTCCGGGACTTCAGAGGCTGAAGCGAGGGCTGCCGGCCTCCGAGCTCAAGAAAAGGACTTGCATGCCTATCAAGAACCGGGGGACGATGTGTCTATAACACAGCCGGAACCCCAGCTTGATGCTGACCCTGAAGCCAACCCACAGCTTATCGTAGAGGAACTCCCCGAGAGGAATTTATCATCCGTTGATGAGGCTGTTGCAGTTGAGGAAGAAGCTCTCGAGGATCTTGACAAACCTCTTAGTAAGAAAGAAAAGAAGAGGAGGAAGAAAGCTCAAGACGCAGCGCTGGCAGCAGCAACAGCAGCAGGACTAGCGGCGATTACACCCTTGGATCCAGACGCCCCCGATGTGCTAGTAGCACAACATGAGGTAGAAGAGGGCCCCAAGAAACTCCACGAGCCAACTACATTGGAGGAATCTATCCCAGATTCTCTCAACATTCCTATCGAGACTGAGAGTGCAGCTTCTCCTTCACAGCCTGAAATGTCACAGGTTGAGGGGGCACCTCCGACCACCACTGAAACCGAGCCTGCAGTGGCGGTTGAGCCAGCAATCGAAGAGGACCCGAGTGTTGAGTTTAAGAAGAGCAAGAAGAAGAAAAAGCAGAAGAAATCTAAAGAGTCTGCCTTGGACACCGAAAGTCAAGCGCCAATCTCTACGGATGCTGAAGGACTCCTCGAGAAGGCTTATGCGCCACCTGAAGAGGAAGTAACTCGCTCTGCGGAGCCTACAATTACGCCCTTTCTAGATTCTACAGTAGTTGAGCAAGTGGAGGAACCCCGAGAAGTGGACAAATCTGGCGATAATGAAGCCTCTGCGGGTTATAGTTCTACGCGAGATCCTCTGACGGACCATGTTTCTACGGATATAACTGGCCCTAGTTTTGGGATAAACGAGTCTCCCGAAGCTTTCAAAGAACCTCTAGCAGCAACGAAGGAATTGACTCAGCCGTCCCAAGAGCCTGTCGAAGGATGGGAAGCTCCTGAAAATGTCAGGGAATTAACAGAGACATTGAAGGACCCTTCATTGGGCGATACTACAAGGCCTGCCAGCCGGTCGTTGGAGATGGGAAGTGACACTCTCATAAGCGCGGAAAAGGATGGAGGGGCACAAAATGATTCTGATTTCAAGGAGCTACCCACCGAATTGGAGCATGCTTCCGACAAGCCACCTCCATTTAAATCTACAGCGACTACGGATGCTACAGTTGAAAGCCTACAGGCAGATGGCTCTGCATTTCCTCTTGAGGATGAGATTCCAAAGGAAGACAGGGAAGATACTTTAGCTTCGGGGCCCGAGGCTATCATCGAACCAGAACAGGTTGTGGTACCACAACCTGAAGCCAGGCCCGAAGAAAAATCCTTGGAAGACTCACCTTTGGAATTGGCATCCGATTCTCCAGCGGATGCACCACAGACCGCGGAAACGGAAAGCTCGCCAGGGAAAACTGATGAAAGCAAAACGTTGCCTTCCGAAAATTCCTCACTTGGCCAGGCTGTAGAAACTCAAGACCTCCCCAACGTTTCAGGCTTATCCAAGAAGGAAAAGAAGAAAAAGAAGAAGGAGGCCAAAGCCAAGGCGTTGGTTGCTGAATCTATTCTTGACCCTGTACCCGAGCCTCCCGCGGAGCCTGCCACTGAGCCTGGACCTACGTTGGCATTTGAAGATGAAATTGGAGAAACCTCACCTGTAGTTAAGCCTTCCGCCGAGGTGGTGAATGCGGCAGAGGGAAGCGCGCCCGGTTCTCGACTGGCATCAGAGAAAGATGATACCGTCACCGAGCAGCTCTCACCAAAAGCTATGGGAGAGATCGAGGCGAGGGCGCCTGAGGTCGAAGTGCCAAAAGAAATTGAGGCTATCGAAGCCTCTGAATCCATTGATGTCGCCGAGAATAAGGGTCTTTCCAAAAAAGAGAGGAGAAGAAAGAAGAAAGAAGAGCAATCAAAAGTTGCTGCCCTCGGTGAAGAACAGACCATAGAAAGATCAATGGATTTAGAGGAGGTAATTGAATCTGCTGGTGGCCAATCAGGTGCTACCGCTGAATCAGATGCCAAGGAAGAGCGTCAAGATCCAGGTTCCTCACTAGAAGATCCCATGGATATGCCTGTCCAATCTGCACCGATTCTCCGGCCCAACGAAAAAGATGACAAGGCGCCCGAGGCCGAAGGCAAAATGGGCGACAACTCGAGAGATCTCGGCAGTAAGGAGCTCAGCGAACGGTTGCTAGCTCCCGCCAAGGATGTCGAAGCTGCCGAAGAGTCAAGCCTCGTTTTTCAAGACACGCCATCCCGAGTTGTAGAAACTCGCGAAACTCCCTCGACCAGTCAAGAAGACATCCAAGAAGAGGAGAAAACGTGGGCTGACGACCGGGACAAGCTGGGAGGCTTAAGTACTGAGGTTCCAAGCCAACAAACCCCGGAGGAGGTGGCCAAGACCGTCGACACCGACAAGTCGGATGTAGCCGAGCCCAACATTTTTCCAGAGTTGGAAGTGCCAGTTGTACAAGACTCCGCCCTGGCTGCCAGGGATGACGCGCCTAATGCAGCTTCACCGCCTGTGGGTCCAGACACTCGCATGCAGGAAGACCACGATGACAAAACTTCTTCGCATATGACTGGGTTGTCTAGCAAGGAAAAGAAGAAGCTGAGGAAGAAGGCCAAGACCTTGGGCTTGCCTGATCCATTTTTAGAAGCCCCAGAATCTCAGAAAGAAACCTCCACAGCCCTAGGCACCCAGGCTTCTGAGCTTGAGACAAGACCGGACTTGGAAGCTAGTAAAGCTCTCGAGCCAGAGGCTTCTAGGCAAGTGCAGGAACAGATTGAAAGCAGCCGACTAGATGCTACTTTGACATCTGAGCCAATCCCGGAAGAGCCGGAGGATCGTCCAGCCGGAAGTCCGGACGTTGTAGAAAATGATGCCCCTGTGCAGATCGGACCGCCGGAGCAGTCGTTCCCGCCTTTAGCTGATACGACTAGACAAGCCGAACGCCAGGGACCTGAGTCGGCTGCGAATCCGACATTAGGCGATGAGCATCAGGCAATCGAGGTTGAGACTGTTTTGAACGACCCTACCTCCAAAGAAGTACAGGCCAGTGACACAAATGAAAAGGCTGAGTCTCTCAAACTCACTCCAACTGTGCTTCAAGGGGATGAAGAAAAGCCAAGGCCTGTGCAAGACAAACCAGCGGCCGACTCAGTGAGTGATGCTAAGCAGCTGGACTCGAACATACATCCTTCTCCAGAGACACCTGCGGCGCCTCTCTATCAAGAACAACCGCAAGGAGACCGTGAACTGGAAGTAGCAGAGCCGCCGAAGAAGTTGTCGAAGAAGGAAAAGAGAGAGCTGAAAAAACAGGCACTTCTGGCCAGTGCAGGAGCCGTTGAAGCTACTCCCGACCCTCCCAGTATTGAATCTCAACCGATCCTTGAACCCTCGATCGAGCCCAATGTTGAGAATCAACCATCTGCCAACGATGGACAAGTGGTCGAGGCTTCACCTCGCTTAGAGGAAGACTCTGAGGCTCTACCTCCAGCTAAAAAGTCGAAGAAGGACAAGAAGAAGGAAAAGAAGTCCGCTCTTGCAGCAGCGGCGGCGGCAGCGGCGGCAGGCACCCTGGTCGCTTCCCAGTCACAAAACACAGCACCTAAAGAGACTCTAGACATCCGTGCCGATAATGACCGGTCCCTTGATGTGGAAGCTGCGCCTGCTATCGATGAGCCTATGCCAGATATACCCGCAAGTGTCCCGGCAGAGGAAGCCTCTCTGGAGACTACGCCTTCTGGAGCCACTGGTCAGAAGCGTGACGAGTCAACTTTGGAGCATAATGACGAACATGGTGGAGAGGAGGCTCAAGGCTCCGCCGCCCAAACTGATGCAACCGTTGATATTCTGGACGTGCAGCATAGTGAGGTCCCTCAGCGCGAACCTGAACAACAAGACGCAGGAGAATCTGAGCATCGCCCTCACCACGAAGAGCAACCTCGTGAAGCAGATAATTTGTCAAAAGTGTCAGAGCCTAAGCTTGAGTCATCAGGTGACCAGCTTCAGGGCCAGCCTAATGTTGAGACGTTAACAGATACTTTCCCCACCATTGACAAGGCTTTGGGGGAAGTGGATGCTATGGAAGGAATAGAGCCAACTAGGGAGTTTTTCGACTCAGAGATGGCTTCCCAGCCGGCGGCAACGCTCGAAGAAACTACGGAGCTCAACCTGCCTCAGCCTCAACTTCATATCGACGTTGAACCAGTTCTTGCGGAATCTCACGAAGTTTCAAGGAATGTCGAAGAACCAACAGCCAGCAATGTGGACACTCGGCAAACCAAGTTCGTTCCACCTATTGATACTACAGAACGGGATAGTGATGTCTTAGAGGGAGCATCGGAGCAAAGATCGCGAAGGCTCGAGGAGGAAACTGAAGCGGCAAAGTCAAACAAGAAGAAGCAAAAGAAGGACAAGGGCAAAGACAAACAGGCGGTGACTTCAACTTTCGAGACGTCGATGCCAGACCCTGCAACTTCAGCCAAAACGACGGTCCCGGATCAAACAAAAGAGCCTTTGCTAGTAGAGAACAAGACATCGATGGAGGTTGATATACCAAAATCTCTGGAAGATGTTGCTTCGAAAGGGCTACCTTCAGCAGGTGATGTTTCACAAGACATCATCCCTGTTCATGTAGCTGTGCCTGAGGAGGTTCCTGGGACGACATTCCCGGGCCAGTCAGCAACTTCTGAAAGGGATATCTTGGATGCTGACATGCACCGCAAGACGTCGTCTCCACCGAGAACTCCCAAGTCCCCAAGAAAGCCTCTTTCCGATTTGCCTAAAGCAACCTCACCAAAAAGAGGTCTGGAGCAACCTCCAAGCACTGAAACGAAGGAAGAAGGCCTGGAGAAGACTTTGGCTTCTGCTGCTTCTGCGGCGGCCGCCGCAACCGCAAGTGGCTTTTCATTTTTAGCTGGAAGATTTGGTGGATGGGGCAATCAAAAGAAGGACGAGAAACCCGAGGTAGTGGATAAGAGGACTTCACGGGAGAAAGAGGTTGTTGAACATGACGATCATTCCTCCTCGAAGGGTGTTGAGAAAAAAAAGTTGCGAGAACAGGCTGATGGCAAAAAGACTGGCGACAAATCCAGTCGAAAACCTACTGAGGTCAAAGACTCACTAACGGAGAAAGTTTCGCTTGCCGCCAAAGAAAGCGACGATTTCTGGAAGAGCCACGACGACCATGTTACTGTCAAGGGCAAGGGAAAAGCGAAATTGGAGACTTCGGTTTCAAGAGACATTGATGATTTCAAATTGACGAAGAGTGCTTCTAAAGGAAAGGCAATTGAGAAGGAAGCTGCCAAAGAAAAAAGTCCTTCGAGCCATAGGGGCATAGCCGGACTTCTACGACGTGAACCTGACACAAAAGAGCCTGCCGGTAAGCTCTTTGAAGAAGACACACATGCATCATCGACGTTAGGACGAGGGTTCGATTCTACTTTTGTTGATACTAGGGCATCACCTACTCATTCATTACCTGTTGTTGAGGAGGTGCCAGAAAGTGATGCCCCCAAGATATCTCGGGCCGCTACGATGACTCCTGATACCGGGAGGAGGAGGCTGAGGCGGTCGTCTTATGGCACCCCTGTACTGGAGGAGCCCGTGACTACGAGGGCGACTCCAGATCCGGAGAAGAAGAGGGCCAGGGCCGAGCCGGTAACGCCACTGGAGAAGGGCGAGCCTTCACCGCTACGATTACAAAAGATGAGATCAGGTCCTTCACTACGACCGAGCTCGAGTCGGCGAAGGCTCGGTGAAGCTGTTGGCTCAGCATCACCATCACTGCGAAGGCTAGAAACCCGAGACCTGCGTTCACCTTCACCGGCGAGCGCACTGAAATCGCCTTCGCCCGCGTCGCCTCCATCCCTGCTCCCAGCGGCCGGGGTGGCAGCAGCAGCAGCACTAGGCGTTGGGGCCATGGCGGGAGCGTTGAGAAGCACAGGGTCGCCCGACGAGACGATGAGGGGCCGCCGCAGCGTGTCAGACAACAGCAACTATCAAAGGCGAGCTCCAGGGCAGCGGGAGTCGCCTCAGAGTGCTGGCTCGGCCGAGCGCGGCGGGCCACGGAGATCGGCGTCCAACACCAGCCTCCTGCGAAAACACACGCCTGAGCCACTCAAGTTTCGGCCTGAAACACCAGGCATCCAGGGCGTTCGATCCACCCCCACTCCACCGCCGTCTCTCCGCCGAGTCGACAAGCGCGTGAGCGGTGACCTTCGCTCACTCCGCCAGCAAAACAACTCGACTCCCGTCGCCAACGAGCGCCGTGTCCGCACCAAGGACATGGGCGATGTTTATGTGAGTGATATAATTCCCTATTGAGATGATAGCCCTACCCCCCTCTGCATGCCGCGCGACGGTGTCGCTGCTGGCGATGGCCGTCGGTGCCCAACCACCAAAACAAACACCAAGCTGACGATCCACCTCCAGGATGGCGTTGGGGAGGGCCGCATTGGCTCGCCTCGTTCGCCCACACGGCCCCACAGCATGCGTCGCCGCCAGAGCATGCAGGTGCTCGAGCTCGAGTCCCGAGTCGAGCAATTGATTGCTGAGAACCAACAATTGACCGCGGCCCGCGAGCAAGCCGAGCAGGGCATCTCACACCGCAGCACCTCGGTCCTCGCCGAACGCGACGCCCAGATCGAATCCCTCAAGCAGTCGCTGCAGTTTCTACAGAACGAGGTCTCGCGCCTGACCGAAGTCAACAATGGCCTCACAAGTGCCAATGCCGAGCTCGCCCACAAGGACAAGACACGCTACGCTGATCTCGAGGTTCGCCATGCAGACGTCACCCGTGAGCTCGACTTGGCCCGCGGCGAGCAGAATGCCTTCCAACAGACTATCGAAGACAAGGACGCTGAGATCGCCGATCTGCGTGCTCAGCTTGAATCTGCCAAGGAACAAATCCGCGAGATGCAACGCCAGATTCTCGAATCCAAATCTTCTGACGCAGAATTCCTAAACCTTCGCGATGAAGACCACTTTGACCATCGCTGCCAACAGCTGTGCTCCCACGTCCAGCAATGGGTGCTTCGCTTCTCCAAATTTTCCGATATGCGAGCTTGTCGCCTGACGAGCGAAATCAATGATGAGAAAACCATTGATCGACTTGACAATGCTGTTCTCGATGGCTCTGATGTCGATAGATACCTTAGCGACCGAGTCAAACGACGAGACATCTTCATGTCCATGACGATGAACATGGTATGGGAGTTTGTCTTCACTCGATACCTCTTCGGCATGGATCGAGAACAGCGACAAAAGCTCAAGTCTCTTGAAAAGATGCTTACTGATGTTGGCCCTCCGCAAGCCGTACGCCAATGGCGTGCCGTTACTTTGACCCTGCTGTCCAGGAGGGACACATTTAAGCACCAGCGGGACCAGGACACGGAAGCCGTGGTTCAGGCCATCTTCCAGACTTTAAGCAGGATTCTGCCACCTCCAGGTAATCTGGAATCCCAGATCCAGTCCCAGCTTCGTCGTGTCCTTCGAGAGGCAGTTGACCTGTCAATCGAAATGCGTACTCAGAAGGCTGAGTACATGATGCTGCCACCGCTGCAGCCTGAATATGATGCGGACGGAGAATTGTCCGCCACTGTTCAGTTTAATGCCTCAATGATGAGCGACCGCAATAGCAAAGGCCTCGCCAATGACGAGCTGGAGGCCGAGGGGGCTATTGTTCGAGTTGTTCTCTTCCCTCTTGTTGTGAAGAAGGGTGATGATGAAGGTGTTGGTGATGATGAGATCGTCGTGTGCCCAGCCCAGGTGATTGTGGCTGGCGACAACAGACATAACTTTGGTGCCTCAAGCGAACTCGGAGGTACATCTCTTGGTGCACGCAGTCGCTTGAGTGTGGTCACTGACAAAAGTTAACTGCCTATGTTGAGGCGGAACGATATGCTGCATACCAGTTGTATGAGGGTATGAGAGAAATGGTTTAATGGTGGCTGTTAGCATCGTTATTTGTGAATATTGGATTGATTTTGGGGTTTATCGGGACATTATTTTCAGGGTATTTACTAGGGGGATTGGGAGGTTTGGCGGATCATTGGAATGAGGCGAATTGCTTATTAGGACGATATCCTTGGGGAAGCCTTCTCCCCTTTTCATTTTGTTGGTTGGATTTGTTCATTTTTCTTTATTTTCAACTCTTTACGTGAGTTTACCATCTCTCTGTTTCTTTCTTTTATTACTTATGTTGTTTTGTCTTTTCGATGGCGCGCATTTAGTAGCCTTGTTCTGTCTGCATTTCTTTCTATTATATGCTCTTCTTTCTTACCATTTTCGTAATGGACTGGGTTGGACGAATGATTACCAGTTTAGATTCTATAACGACCATTTCTTTGAATAATGAAAATATATTGTTCTTACTTGATAAGTTCTAGGCCAAATGAGTAATTGTTGGATGTTCACGATTATCAGTTCCGTCATGGCCAGAAATTATTATCATGAACCACGAGCTCGCCATTTCGCGGGTCTAAGTATTTATAAACTTCTTTTTTTAATTGATATGAATCTTCTATCCATGTTGTTTATACTATATTTATCTTCTCTTTGCCTTTAGTTTTTCCTCTACATTGAGAGTGGCTTGTTTCTGCCACGAGGCTATGATGATGCTACAATCATGGGCAACTTGTACCCCAAAGCTAGGAGCAACAATGTTCGCGATGTAATGCTGCAAACGCCCCACTGGTGCAGGCTGCCCGTCGCGCAGGGACCTCGTGACAACGTTTGTTATGCAACGGAGGACCGCGTCCGTCGGCCGACCAGCCAGATCGCTTTGAAATCGCATGCAGCGGGACACTCCGCGAAAGGCCATGCGGTTGGTCAGCCCCGGGGCCTTCTCGTACCAGAGAGCTATCATGTCCACCAGGTCCATCAACTGCTGCTTGATGGCAGGCGCATCAAGGGGGGGCGCGGCACTGGCCTCGGTAGTAGATGTGGGCTCCGGGTGCATGATGCTGCGCTTCTCGTCCTTCAGGGCCACCCAGAACCTGAGCGAAGGGAGGTGCGGGTTGGAGACGATGTCCTTAATCACCGCTTGCGTGTTCTGCACGACGTTGGGGCGGGAAGTCCTCGTGAGGACGATGAGCGTCCGAAAGAAACGGACGTCCCACTTGAGGGCGCCCAGGTGGCACCAAAGGCTCGTCAGGCCAGCGGGATGTCTCGACTCGATGACCTTTTTGGCTAACGTTAACCAGTGTTGTTCTAGGTAGCCACGGAGCAGCACCTGGCGGGTGAATTCCATGTATGATTCTGCTTCCAGGCATTCGTCAGCGAACATTCTTGCCGACATAAGTAGCAAGGTTTGCTGTTTGTCTGGCCGGTGGTGAGATCCTAAGTAGGAAATGACAAGCTGCTCGAACTCGGAAAATGATAGTTCGAGGTAGTGTGCCTTGAAGAGCAGCCACCAGTACCGGTATTCATAATTGAGGCCAGCATCGAAGGTCTCCGCAATGATAGATTCGACCTTCTGGCCGATGGCTTCTCGCATAGGGGGCTCGAAAGACTGCATCAGCTGGGCAAGTACTGCGAGATTCTTCAGCTTATCATGCTCCTTGGGTGAACGCATCACTGACCGGATCAAGCTGTAGAGTGACGTTGCAAGCTCGTCAACAGGAATCAGGTCTCTGTCCATGGGCTGTGCCTTTTCGATGACGAGTGCCAGAATCCGGAAGCTATCACCTTTTGCTGTCGCCGCAAGTGAATCGTTTAGGACCGCCTCCCAGGCTTCTCTATAATCATCTCTGAGATCGTCCTCGGCTCGCAACTCGGACAGCGTTGTGACGACGGCACTTCGAATACTCGAAATGACGCTTTGAGAAATCATTTTGTTTGAGATGCGTGCCATGGTGGCCGTATCCAAAGGTCTCATCATTTCAACCAGGTATTCTGGTGTGAAGTCCCGGGACCTAATCCTACCAACCAAGTTTTTTATGAACTTGTCTCTCACCAGCCAGATAGACCTTTTCCTAACTTTATTCCATCCCCATTTCATCCCCCATATGGCAGATCGTAGTTGGCGCAATTCTGAATTCATCGTAACCGCATCGGCTGCAGGTACACTGATCGATTGCTCGGCTGTTGGCGAGTTGGAAACTGCTGGTGAGTTGAGGACTTCTGGCGAGTCGAGAACTGCTGGCGAGTCGAGGACTTCCGATGGGTCTAATACTGCTGTTGAGTTGAGGGCCGCCGTTGACTCGGTTATTGCTGGCGAGTCGAGGACTTTTGGAGGCGGGTCGATGAACGGTTTATCCAGATTCGAATCTTCGAGCCATCGAAGCAGCTTCCCACTGAGATTCTTTATACTAATTTCGGCATTGCGCTTGTGTCGTGTTTCGGGCGTCGTAGGAGGTTCCCATTGCCACTCCTTCGGGTCGTTCATAACCTCAAAATGCCAGGAAGGATTGTATGTGGGGGGTTCTGCCATCATGCCCGTCATGTGGCGCTTCCCCAGCAGCCGGCGTTTCTCGATGGGCCCCTTCTGAGAGCTCGAGAAGCGACAGAAGCCTACGGGCCTGCGTTGCTGGGCCTCAACAGTTCGGCAGGTCGCGAGGTTGAGCAGCTTTGCGGCGACCTGGGGGGCAGATGGCTGCCGTCGAGCCGGGCGACGACATCGCGCCGCGGGTCCTAGAGGCATTGGCCTAGGCCGCTGCTATTGACGAGCGCAATTCGTGTTCTGTAGCTTTTAGATCGTCGCAGAGAGGGATATCGTCAGTGTTGCCGGTGTTTTAGTCCCATTTCGGGTCGTCCATGAGCTTTAATCGTGTCGCTGCTTCCTGCCAGACTCCGCCAGCCAATAAATGGGGTTGCATTATTACGGCGCTACCTAACACAATTCCCTGTTGTGACAAGACGGAAAGCGGGAAAATATATTTTCCGAGATGTGGCTGGAGCACGGTTCAAGTGACGCGTTGCGGCTCACATGCCGGACCGAGCCACAGCCAGAGCCACCTGGCCACCTTCCCGAACCACTGGCGACTGCGCGGTCGACTAGTCCTCATTGGGCCTGAAGACCCGGGGCCACCCCAGACGCATGTAATGCCCTTTGTTATGCAATTTCCTGATGCAGGTGCTGGACGCAGGAAGGAGTGACCTCCTAATATGCATCTAGTAATACAGCTTAGCGACACACTAATCCGCTCGTTTTCTGTCACTTGGGTGTCGAAGATAAGCGAAGGAATCGCTGACGCCGATGTGAAAAGGGAACCTTGTTTGTTGTTGGTCTAACTCAACGCTCGGGCTCCTCAGGGCAAACGGCCGGTGTATAACGTGCGACTCCGCATTCCTTTTGCTACTTCGACATCACAGCTCCGTTCTTCGCAATCGCCATCAACGCTCCGGAGCAGACAATCATTCATGCTGTCGACTTGGGGACCTCCAGCTCGCTTCAAGAGTCGATGGCAGGCGAGTTTTGATTCACTCCTCGACCACTTCCCCTTTGCAACTTTGATCAACGCCTTCGAGATGGAGCCGATCGTATACGAGGACTCGCCACTAGCCGACTACCTTCGAGGTGCGCAACACATGGCCTTGTTCCTCAGTCTTGCGAGCTAACCTAGGCGTAGATGGTGCAGATGGATCGGAAGACGACTGGGCGCCTGTTGCTAATTCCTCAGATCGACCGGCCTCGACCTCACCGAACTCGTCACCTCCTCCGAGCCCGTCGCCGTTTGCTCCCACTGGCCGCCCCTTAGTGAAGGCTCGGTTTCGCAAGGATGCCCACGATATCCCCCAGCTCATTTTACCGCACGCACCGTCGATGCGATCTATAAGGAAGCATTACTCGGTCAGTCCGGCTCGGGATTTGGGTGCACATGTTGAAATAAGGAGAGGAGGCAAGACTAATACGTGGTGTTCCGCGCAGGCCGTTTTTGCAGCAAGAATCGACCGTGCCGATAACTCCAAGTTTCTCGAGAAATTCCGATACACTATTGTGGCCTCGCAACTACTCAGTGGCCATTCTATCCTGGGACAACATCAGCCAGCCCCTAGCCTGGCCGATGGCGCTTCCTCGCCAGGACTCAATTCAATTTACTCGACAGAAGGCGTTCTCGCTTCTATACTAGCAGCGCTGGCCCTTGCTATTATCTTGAGCTGGGTATTAGGGAGTGGGCACTCTTCCATAACTCGAAAACGACTTATTTTCCTCATAATCATTGGAGCTGCTGGGTTGCTCCTTGGTCAGGTCTATATTCGAAGACAGTGGTTGCGGTATAGGAGAGATCAATCTCTTTCCGAAATTTCCGCATTTGTATCAAACTCGCATGAATTTGACAGCGCGACAACTGCGGCATTGAGCTTGATCCAGGAGGTGGAATTGGTCTCACGCGGCTACCGCATGTAAGTGAGCCCAGATGCAGCTGCAGCCGCATATTTGATGCTAATATCCCATGTAGCAGCGCACCTCTCCCCCCTGTTAGCCGCCTCGAGGATCGCACGCAGAGCCGAAAGTGCGTACGATTGCGAAAGGCCTTGAAGGCCTCGTTTGTCGACATTCTTGAAGAGTACATCCAGGTGTCCAATGTCGTCAAGGCCTTTTCAGAGCAAACTGATCTCGAAAAATACCTTGACATCTATGAGATTAGCGACTTCGACATATCAGATGCCAACCGAGGCTTTGATTTGGAGGAGTTCGACGACACGGAATCGTTACGAACCTTGAAGATCGTCGCAAGTCGATTCCACACAGTCCGCAAGATCTTTCTGTGTGCGCTGCTCGCTCTTGATGCGAGTGGGGAGAGTCAGGACTTGCAGCGATGGTCAAATGCGGTTGATACTCTCCGGAGTGTCAACTCTCTCACAGAGAAAGTGCATAAAAGACTCCGAGAAATTCTCAGCGAGGAAGAATGTAAGTTTCACTCAAACCTCAGTGGAGAGGATGGCACATTTTTTCTTTCATCTTCATTTTGTATCTTGAAAAAGTATAGCAACTAACCCGACGCTTAGCGTTCCCATCTCCTACAACTCAAAAGATACCACTTACGCCTGGACGTGAGCGGTGGAGGTCTCAGCTTCACAAGCTGAATTCCCTGGGTACTGGAATTAGAGGGCTTCAAGCTAAACTACAATTGCTGAGAGAGGAGTCGGATAGGGCACTGAATGACTCGAGCGACATTTCAGAGCTCGGCCCAAATCTTATGACCCAATACGAGACAATCGGCACAGATCTCAAAGAACTGATGTCAGTGTGGGAGGAGGGCAAAGCAGCACTTGCCCAGGGTATTGACAGAAACGAAAAGAGACTTTCGTCAATGAGCACACTCGCATCACCCACTCTTTCGCTGAGTGGACTGACAACGGTAGGGGAGGAAGGCAATGCAGCGGCAGCCCTCAAAGCCCTAACTGGGGAGTCACCACCAGCTTCAGATACCCATGAATCACTGGAGATGGAACCGGAGCTTTTCGAAGCCGTGGCTCGGCCCAGACCACGCAGCATGCTCACCAGAGAGGAGAGGATAGCTAAGATGAAGGACGAGCGAGAAAACAAGGCTCGAGCAAAGCAACAGATCGATGCCACTCGCGGTATGCTCCGCGAGCTCGAAACTGTGATCAACTTGCGACCATCTAGCAGCAAAAGATCGTCAATGGGCGGTCGGGTGGTATCAATGTAGCCATTTCTGAGGCACATTGATCAGATATGAATGACGACAAACAACAACATCAATTTGTTTAATAACGGCGAGCTTGGCAAGACCAAGCAATTCAACAGCACAGCACGTACGCTATCTTTTCTTACGCCTCCGAGAGCGCCACCAATCAATTCTCTGTATTTCTTCACGACAAACAAACAGGCATCATGGGCAACTAAGCATATTTAAAGGCGCAAGGCGAGCGATCGACATTCATTAATCTAATGGTTTCTCTCTTTTATCTGTTTTCCTTTTCCTGTCATTATTTCGTTCATTTCACATTATCTCTCTTTTCTCCCGCGCTCTATCACAAAGCGAAGTTCTACTCGCTAATCATTCCTCATCCTTTCCTATTCTCCTGCCCACGTTGTGGAGCCATATATACTTACATATCTGATGAGTCTTGGGGTTTTGGTATGGTTCATCATAGGAGTTGGAATTACTGGCCAATTTGTATCACTGATAGAATTTTCCCAATCTTGTAATGTAGGAATAGATTGGAGACATGAAATAGGTATCTATTGAATAAATTGTGGTGAACTCTACCAAAATTCACCTGGTTTTGAAAAAAGGGGATGACCATGTGAGACTGAAATCACCATACTGCTCATAATTAGACAACGCAGGTAGTTCACGTCAAACTTTAGCTCGGAGATGAAGGCAAATCTGGTGAGCATGAAGCTTAAAACTCTAGAACATGAATATCCTACTTGATCTACAAGTCTACGAGTCGTATTGTCATATCACTTAGAGCCGGTAATGGCGTTTAAGTTGACCGTTGTACTTTCCTGAAAAAGCCTTGTTCGTTAAGTTGGGCTGAAGTTAGGTTAGTCAGACACGCCCTGACGCGCCTAATTGGCGTCGCTTGATGGCCGACGCGTCTGAATCCACCAAAGCTCCCCTCACTCGCGTAAAGTGCCTTTGGACAACCCTCGCACATAATCTCTACCATCTCTTCCTCCAATTCACCGTTTGCCTTCTCTATCAACCTCGACGACTCCGCAACATTCCGCTGCTCCCATCTGCACATATTCCTCATCCGAAAGTTCCTATTAATCTAATAAATCGCAGTAAGTACTGCCTGTGTGCCCCCGCACACCGCCACCGCTGACATTGGAGTGAAGAAAATGTTGGAAGCACGCCTCGAACAAGCCAGTCTCCTGAAGAAGGTACGCCATCCCCATCCCTCTCCTTCAAATGGTCATGACTGACACGGTACTATCTGTAGGTGGTCGACGCCATCAAGGACCTGGTTCAGGACTGCAACTTCGACTGCAATGACTCTGGTATCGCGCTCCAGGCAATGGACAACTCCCACGTTGCCCTTGTCTCTATGCTTCTGAAGGCCGAGGCCTTTGCCCCCTACCGATGTGACCGAAACATTGCTCTGGGAATGAACCTCACATCCTTGACCAAGGTTCTCCGTGCCGCCCAGAACGAAGACATCCTCACCCTCAAGGCCGAGGATGCACCCGATGTACTCAACATTCTCTTCGAGAGCAGCGAGAACGACAGAATCAGCGAGTATGACCTGAAGCTCATGGACATCGACCAGGAGCACCTGGGTATCCCCGAAACCGACTACGCCGCCACAATCTCTCTGCCATCCGCTGAATTCAGGCGCATCTGCACTGATTTGGCTGCCATGTCTGAGTCGGGTATGTAATTTGGGTCTTCTTTCCCTGTTTTAGGATATGACAGACTAACAGCCTTCCTCTTTAGTTAGTATCGAGGCCTCCAAGGAGGGCATCAAGTTCTCTGCCAACGGTGACATTGGCAACGGCTCCGTCACCCTTCGCAGCCAGTCTAGTGTTGAAGAAGGATCCGACGCGGGCATCAAGATCGAACTTTCCGAGCACGTTGCCTTGACTTTCTCCCTGAAATACCTGGTCAACTTCTGCAAGGCTGCAGCTTTGTCAAACCGGGTCAAGATTTGCCTGTCTAACGAAGTCCCTCTGCTTGTTGAGTACGACCTTGGCTCCAACAACAGCCACCTGCGGTTCTACCT